CATGCGGCATATTCATTGTCGACAGCGGCGATGGCGACGTATATGCCGAGGCATTAACTCGGCATTTGTTTCAAGCTGCTCTGAGGCAAGTCCGACGAGGGCGCCATGGGTTAAGGGACATTGGGGGGTTAAGGGGTGGACAGATAGCGTCGAGTTCGGCCGAGAGTTGCGACATATTGAAAATCATTGCACACAGACATATCCATGCGGGAAACAGCCGAAAAAAAATGGAGAAAAAAAAACTAAATAAAGTCTGCAGACTATGGAATACCTGGTTTTGGAAGCTTTTCATACTTTCAGAAACGATTTAAACAACGACGAAAATTATAGGAACTAGTTCCATACTTGCAATGTTACACTGACAGAAAACTACTCAATTAGTTTATGGACGAACAAAATTAATACAAAATCTTGTAGAAATTAAAATTCAAATTTCTCTAGTTTTCTTTATGCTCAAGGTCCAGGTACTCAAGCCCACGTTATGTGATTCAAAAGGCATCCCTACACAAATTCAATATACCCTTTTTGCTCTAGAAATACCAGGTATGAGAATAAAAGCATCAGGAAGAATGTATTGAAAGACAAACGGCATTGACATCAATTTTTATTTGCCTGCACGAGTATGTGAGTGTGCTGCTGGCACGAGAAGAAACAATTTTTATTACATTGAAAATTTGCATAAAATATTTAAGCCAAATGGTCGGTCGATTGGACGGGTAAAAAATGTAGAAAGAAAAAAACTCTTCCTCGATGGCAGGACCTCCCTCACTCTCTAGGCCAGCCAAGGCTGATGGGATTTGTTGCTAAAAATTTGGCCTTAAGGACGAAAATTCGACCCGACATTTGTGGTTTCTATATGTGAAAATATACCATAATGAAATCATTTCCCTAAAGTCGCCGTATCAGGAAGCTGATTGTGGGAATAAACCATGAGATGTAGAAAATATTAAAACCTAATTCTGAAACCAAGAAGAAAATTAAACACAACATATAAAATTTAGATCAATAATTTAATACACTTTTTCTTATAAAACGTATAAAGTTTAGAGCTTTAAAAACTTAAAGATTCTAAAATTTGAAAGTGCGACTGAGATGGAATCAAGAAGAGAATGAATTTCGGCAGGAAACTTCAAGGATTCGCTGCACGTTCGCATCTTTAACGCCATATGTTGACTTTTGCTACAATTTTCATACTGGCCCACACTAGAAGTGGGGCACCACGAACTTTGGGGGAGACGTATAGTGTAGTGGTGGGATCTGGGACATATCCTTTATCTTATATACGCTATTTTATGCCTGCACCATACCACGACATCTCCCCGTCCATCGATGTAGCTGTTGTTGTTGTTTCTCGCCTCTTTCGCCAATAGATTGTGCCACCACACTTTGGCATTTTATAACATAAACTTTCATTTGTTTTCTTCCATTTTTCGTTGTCTTTTTTATGCTACCCCAATACGAGTTGATTTCAAGGGTATATTTCTTTCGCGAAATTTTAACTAACGATGAAAAAGGGTATTACTTTATGATCTTTTCAGTTGAATTGAAATCTAAAAATCAGAGAACTTCCTTTTGTATTCAACGTACTCTAAAATATTCTAGATTATTTCAAGAAATTTTAAATCAAACGTATTACCGGATATTAGATGGTCGAGATCCTTTACAAATAAGATCATATTCGTTTTTTTATTTCTTGTATTTTTTTGCAAACATTTTTGTTGGCCCCACCATCGTTGTTGTTAGTGCTTGTAATGCGCTCATGTAGTTGCCCCTCATTCTCTATATCCTTCCTCCTTTTTCAGCTGGGGCGCATATGTTAAGCCACGAATACATAGAAGATAGTCTGATGTCTTGACATCTGTCTACCAGGCCGGGTCCACAACCATTCCCACCCCGCCACACCAGCCCACTCGGCGAAGCCACCCAGTTTTTCGGCTTTGACAATCGTCCAAAAATGGAGATTTGCATGCACATCAGCATTGGGCATACATTTATCTCGCCCGCCAGTTGTTGGCCCCTTAATGCTATGGATGCCAAATGGGAATGGGAAAGGCAACGATAACAAAAGTACGAGAAAATCATACTTAAAGGCTGTGAAATGAGAAAACTTAATTTTTGGATAAAGAGATTGATGTGAACATTTAAATTTGAAATTATACATATATTATATGTGGTTATGTGTACTCTATATTAGCAGTCAAGACACAAAGAGAATACAATTTTAATTGGCAGCCTCAAACTACATACCACATAAAGGAGCAGACAGGAGGACACCTAAAATGGTATACTGATACAAAATCTTAAAGGAGAGTATAATGAGAAGAACAAGAAAGAAAGCCGAAGTTCTTATACCCTTCCAGTTTGCATTTAAATTATTAAAAACCGATCCATGTTGGTCAAATTAAGATAAATAAAAACTAACTATCAATAATAATTCGGTTGTGATTCAATTTAAACAGCATTTTTCGGAAATCTTGTAAAGTAGTTCAATATCAGGGTTAAAATATTTAATATAATATGAATTACAAATATATATTTTGAGAAACAACGAAGTAATGTGAACTTTATATATTTACCTATACATATTACAACATTATTTCAATTACAGTTTCCTCCACATTTACATAATAAAGTTGTCAAATTTTAATAAAATTAAAATAAAAATTGTAAAATAATACAAAATACAAACAATAATACCTCAAAGTACGTAAATTGATGTTAAAAATCGGAAGGAATATAAAAATTTGATGATGATGTGGATTAAATCAAGCCAAATAGACCCTCCGAATATCAGCTGATCCAAAAACAAGGCTTGTAGGAATATAGTAATCCCTGGCCCTATAGGTTATATACAATAACAGAGAAGAGTAGTGTATCGAGTCTGGTCTGAATGCATCTTAACTTGGCGTGGATAACGGACAACCGGCCGTATTGATTGATTGGAGTAAGTGCAACAGTTTATTTGCATATTCTGTAGAATTTTATTGCACAACGGTAAACAGAAGTGAATTACTGCAAAAATATGCAAAATATTTAAATTGCCAAAATATCCCCTTTGCGAGCACATAAATAAGAGTTCATAGATGTCAAGGGAGGCCGAGGGGATACTATAGATATCCAGTTGCAGAAGCCAAACAAATGTAAACTCGCTTTGTAGTTTATTGAAAATTTAATAAAGTGCAGCCCACAAAGGGATGATTGAGGGAAAAGGCAATGGATGCGGAGAGGAGAAGAAATATCCAAATAAATATGCTATTGGCCTTTATTGCATTTCAATTTGCTATCAAAGCATCATCATCCTTAGACTCACCAATGGACATGCATTCATATTCGGAGTTATGTTTACTGCGTAAAGGACTCCCTCGGCAACACGGTATTTTGTGGTATTTAAATGGAATTTAAAAAGCATTTCTGTTCGGCATGGAGATCCAGAATTTGCTCAGGTATGCTGACACAAATCCTGCCACAGGCAAGAAGCAGGCCGAGACTGCGACCTGCAGCTGCCTTCTGTCATCTGATTTCTTTGCTCTTTTTCGGATCAATAAATGTGGCTGGAGGACACAGAATTAGTTTGAAATAGTAAGAATTTTTATGCATTTTTGGCAGAGTTTATCGAAACATAAAGGGTAGTTATAAGCGACTTAAGAAACCCATTTGCTAATTGATTTGGCCATGTTGGTATGTCTATCATGCGAGCTTAAAAGAAAAGAGAATAACAAGCTCAACAAACTGCTAAAATCAAGAAAAACTATCGCAGGCAATTGGAAGTTATTAAGGTTTGATTTTTGAGCAAAATTGCTACTAATGAAATGAATGAAAATAATGAAAGATTTAAAAGTCATATGTTGATTTATGTAGATTATATAAACCGACTTTATAACTAAGCTATCCATCCAAATATTTCATCAAATACCTATGATTTTCTACACATTACAGTATCAATCTCCAAAATAAACCCACAACATGGTAGTTGTGCTTTAAAAAATAATTCAAAATTCCCTGAAAATTCAATCTTACAGATACCAGCAAGGGACCAAGATACGCAGACAGAATCAAACTATACACAGAACCCGGAACGAGGGCCCACTATGGCTTTCATTGTTGTTCCGAAGACAAAATCAAAATCCAACAATATGGCAATAAACGAATTTTCGTTATAACAATGCAGTTGACCTCTCCGTCGATCCTTGGCCACCAACCCATGCAAAAAGTGTCCGACCGCATGCAATTTTGTTTGGATGCCGATACCCATGGCCAGGCCAATGGACCCTGGCCCTAATGGCCGATGGGGCCGGGACACGACAGCCACAGCCACAGCCACAGCCACAGCCACAGCTGAAATTGCGGGTAAAAAGAGGGAGAGGCAGGGGGACCCAAAATGAGACTGAGGCATAGGGGGCGGTGCCCAAAAATGTCCCTAGGTGTTGGCCACATGGGAGCCGACTGAACGCATCTATTTGTATTTTGTTACAGGACAAGCTCTCAATGGGCATATCCCTTACTTATCCGCCCAACGACGGGCCAAGAGAGGGGGTTAGGTTCCACACAGAACATCGGACAGAGACTTTTATTGAAAATTTGCTACGACAAAAATTCATAACTGCAGCAGAAATATACACGGAACAAAAAAAGAAATTATAATTTCCAATCAAAACCAATCAAATAAATAATTATTAACCTTTTTCATATTTAAACTTATTGATTTTGCGCACTTAAAAATACGTATACTTTTTTAGAATTTATAACATTTAAAAACAATGCACCTTGTTTTTTGTGCCGTGTAACATTTAGGTTTTGCATTTTAAAATCAAAAATGGAAGGTCCCACAGACCTCCCCCAGAATATAGAGTTGGACTCGAACTCCGCTTTTGAAAACACAGAGAATTATTGAGTTTTTGCGAAATGCCAAGCAATACGATTGCGGTGCTAATTTGGGCTGCAATGCTTCAGTTTCAGTCTCTCCGACTATATAGTCTCCGTAGTCTCCCATATCCGGCACTTGTTTGGTGGTGACGTTGCCCAGTCATTGAATCGCTTCGATTGCCGCCTGGGGAATCTAATCAATGGCCAGTTGGCCAAGTGGCCGGCCGGTGGCTCTTGAGAAATCAGTCAGTTTCAACATGTCGTCGTGGGTTGTCTCTACCACCGAGCTGCACGATTGCGGCGCGACTGGTGCATCCTCCTCTTATCCGCGGCGCCTGATCCTGCTGGTGTGGCAAAGCCTGGCGGAGAAGTGCCAAAAGCTCGGGAACCTTATGCGGCGCGAGACGAATAAACCGTTGCCCAAAGAGCTGCGCCGATCGCTGCGTCTCAACAAATCGGCGCGTCGGAAAGGCTACCACAGCTGTGAGAGCGAGGCAGATAAAAGGTATTATGAAAGTCTAGAATAAGTAAATTCGAAGAATACAGAGGGGCTAGATAAGCCCCATTTTTCCATTGTTATTGTTTACCTCAAGGTTCGCCTATGTACAAAAGCTAAAGTGGACCTCTATGTGCTAAGGCTTAGGGTATTTAGGAGATAAAGCAAAGCAAAGACGAATTTGTAAGAGAATATGGTGTAAAAACTTTAAAGTTTGTTAATTTCGAATTTCCTTTAATAATTTACCTATTTTAATATAAAATAAATACCCTTACAAGTTTTAAGTAAGTGTCAACACTGCGTATGAGTTATAACTTTATTAAAATTATATATTAAGTCGTAATCTGAAAACAAGTACTACCGAATGTTAACTCCAATTTTCGTTAATATTTCAGACTAATGAAAGAGCGTTTAAATGAGCCCGCCAATATATCCATTCGCATGGGACCTGCCTACGACTACAGACCCTCGAACTTCTAATCGATGGGCGGATATATACTAGAAGGATTTAAGGGGAAAATCGAATTTAAGAAATCTGCATTATCTGTAATGTTAAACGCTCGCTGTTAGTGTTAAGTGTCTGTTGTAAATTCTTTTATTAAAAGCACAAAGTTTACATATTTTACAAGCATGTCGCAAGCTTTGCCACAGCTGATGAAATCTCAGAGCTTTCATTGGCACTCATGGCTTTATTTTTCTCTTCGGTCAACTTATTATAAACTTGCTCTCTTTAGCTTTTAGTCGACAGCCGGTACTCTTCGCTACGCCCACACAAAAGTTTATTGCCCCGCTCACAACAAGTGGACGTGTCTGTATACCCTACTAATTCGAGTGCATGAGTATTTTGAACATATTTTGTATACATTTTATGTATGAAATGGAAAACATGCTCTTATCCTTATATAAAATTATTTATTTTTCAATTGCATTAGCCTAGGTAAATTTGTTTAACTTAAAGTACAATTTAATTATATTTTGAATGTTTTGTTCTCAGCGATTTCTTATCAATTAAAGTGTATTTAGGAAGCAACTTTTTCTAAGAGTTTTAATAAGTATATTTGTTGTTTAAACATTATTTATTCACATTTAATTATAAAAAAGAAGAAAGTCAGTAAGAAGAAAGTAAAACGATATCTCAATTTTTTATTTATGATCTTATTCTATTTCCGCCAAAGTTCACTTGGTTCTGTACATGTCCACTTTGTAAAACGGGCTTTATATAAAAACATTTAAATAACAAAATTAATAACTGATAGAGCATTTAGCTATTTGCGTGACCCTACTAGTAACTCAAACTTCTGGCTTTTCCTTTCTGCAGCCACCAATACTAATTCGAGCCGTCTGTCACTCTCACTCTCTGCGGAACACTCTCTCTTTGGCTCTTACTCAGTTGTCTTCTACGTCACGGAAAGCGTTATCTCCTCGGTGTTTTTTGTGTGGCGGCCGCTTAGTGTGAAAAACGTGTTCGACGCGGAAATGGCATTGATAGTGAAATTTTAACCGAATTTTACGGGAGCGTGTTGTTCATTATTCGGCCAGCAATCAAACCTGTTACGGACATTCTAAAAAAAAATTCGATCCGGAGCAAAGTGGACTTTGATTAGAGCTACGGTACCTTTTTGACCTGCCTCTAATTAGTTAATTTTCACCGCCACAGCCACGGCAATAAATACAATTAACATAAACCACGCAATCAGTTCACAATGAAGCTATTTTCAACATTTGTTTATTTACTGGTCGCCTTCTACAAGTTCTTCAAAAAATTCTTGTAAGTGCCTAAATTATCTAATAATATTAAGGGAGTGCCTTTTTTGTCTGGGTGTGATGTATCCTTTGTCCTTTTTTGCCTTTCATTTTACAAAAACAACAAATATTTGAGCTTATTGATAAAACAACAACGGAGACAGGTCGCATTTCGTTGTTTGGCGCTGCTTTTCGTAAAGAAAATTTCCTTTGTTTAATTTTTCCGTCTTGGTCTTCTATTTTTCTTTTCCTTAATCTTTCTTCTTTTCTTTTTGTTTATTTGGTTTGTGTTTGGACTTGCAGTTTATTACACAAAAATACAAATTTGCTCCAAACCGCCGACGAGTGCGAGCGAGAGAGGAGAAAAAAGCCCAACCCGCTCATTGTGTGCTCTTTCCTTCTCCTCTTGTCAGTATTTCCCTCTCTCATCGCTCTCTCTTTCACTGCCCACCCCCTTTATCTTCCCCCTGTTGACGCCATCGCATGTTATTGTTTGGGTTTGAGGCCGCTTGGAAATTGGCTGTGCTTTCTTTTTGTTCCATATGGGGAGATTGGGGTCTTTTGCATGTAATTTACTCAAGGGCCTGTGTGTTTGCTTGTGTGGGTGCGAGGGTGTGTGCCTGTTTGTGGGCTGGTGACAGCAGAAATGGTTTTTTAATTACTATAACTGTTCTTTGTGTATCCGACCTCTGAGGGCGTTGTGTACATTATTCTCCACAATCACAAAAGATCTGTTCTGATTAAAGTGAAAAGCTCTTGTCGGCAAGACCGTAATTTAATCACAAATAACCGGAATTTTAAATGATTCCACTTCTCGGTTATAATGATAACGAACGGAATATAATCATGCTACAATAGTGATTGGAAATGAATGGAAATTTAGCTGTCTGTCAGAAATGGACGTTGGTCCTTGGCTTCTGAAGACGCAGACCAATTATATTACTTCCTCTTCCAGATCCGTAAACTAGAAATTAAAGTTGAATATAACAAGATCCTTTTGGCTTTAAGCTTAACCCACTAATCAAATTTGAAACGCATAAAATAAGTATTGTGTTCATGGTAAGGTTCAAGTTTCTCTTTAGAAAGCACCCTTTATGGGGCCCCAAAAAGCAGGCAATATTTTCAGATATGCCAATTCAAAAAGGACTTCAGCTAATGCATAACTATAAGAAAGTAGCTGTGCGCTACCTTGGGGGTTTTAATATAAAATACTATAATCTTAGAATATTGAGCCCAGACTTATGTAGAATTTATGTGTTAAGTTATAGCAATGCCGTCCCTAATTGTTAAAAATTAAAATAATATTGAAAACAATATGTAAACCCCTTAAAACATTAAATTTCAAAATTACTACGAAATACTAAATAAATAATCAACATACTAAAATTGTATAGTTGCGGTTGCTTTCACACCATCCAAGGTGCCTTAGGACTACATTGATAAGTACAGTCTAAAATCGCTCATGATTGATTGCCTAACCTACCCCAAAGTTGATTAAATTCCTGACACAACCGGAATAACTCAGTTGTTGACTCTATATTCAAAAAGTCACCAAATCGCATGTAATCCATATTACGCCAATACTAAACTTATTATACCTCAATGGACTTTTCTAAAAAATCCCACTGTGATAAGAATGTGTACAGCCCGGAATTTAAAAACAGTTCAAATTCCAACATTAACAAAAGTGAATCGTTGTCTATCATTTAAACATATATGTACATAAATGTGTACTTGTACACACTTCGAGTAAAAGGCACGCGTATGCCATTTTTATTGCCAATTTGATAAGGTCCCAAAAAGAAGTCTGGCAGACGTGAACACATGACATTCAGTTTATTCATATGTATATGTATATAGATTGCTCATTAGAACTATGTACATATTTATTATACATAGAAGATAAACGAAGAGCGAACTTTATACCGAAGCATTTAAACAAGGCCGCGGTTGGTCCACTCGAAATCCTTATCTAATCTGAATGGCTAGACCACTGGCTGCGAGTAATAAAAATACTATATGTCATGGAACTAAATAGTTATATTACCTCCTAATCGCCGGCAGTCGCACTCACCAGTGACCTTGACAGGCCAACTGGGAGCGGGATTCGCGAGAACTACGCAAATGCAACCGCCACAAACTAATTGAAACCAATTAGATCCAGGCGACGTCACTTTTTTCTGCATTCTCCGTTCTTATCAAGGCGCAGTAAATTAAATCCCCATTTGAACGTTTTACAACTAACCCGTGCGAAGGAATTATGCTGGGAGAAACATTTTCAAGTGCCGCCGGCCAATGGCTCTTGGTCCCCACAATAAGTGCTCCCGATAAGATATATACACACCTCAAGCCAGACACCAAACCAGACACGATCCCATGTCATTGGCATTGTTATCAGTGCCAATTTACAAGTTGTTCCCGGTTGACCCACTCAGGCTCCACAAAGTGTGTGGGCATATCAAGTGAGTCATTTGATTGACGACTTCGAGTCTTTGTTTGGGCGAAAGTGATTGAGAACCGCCTTTGAGCAGTGGCAAAGATAAGGCCTATATAAAATGCTTTGGCATTGAATAGGAATTTGGAAAGTTGATTAATAATCGTAGAGTTAAGATATTTAAGACTACATTTTCTATAGCTAACTTGATTTTTAAATCAAGTTAAAGGGATTCTCCTGGGAATACTCAGAAATATATTTAAATTTTGGGTTCGGAGATTCCTCCTGCACACATTCCCGATTGACACAATATTAATTTAAGAGAATGCCGTTAAAGGTGCCAAAGTGTTGATCACAATGTAAAAGCTATTGCTAAGCCAAACTGAAATGGAATCAAAAAAGACCCCAAAATCCCACTATAAAACCAAAACTCGCGTATTTACGGTGGTGTTACAGACCCTGAGAGAGCGTGAGCCATTGAACTTATTACGATAATGAGGTGGCGATCGTGAGAGCGAGAGGGTTTCTTACTCACCGATTGTGCAACTGTGCCTCCGGCAGACAGAGAAGCGGCGACAAAGCGGGATCTGGGAAAGAAGAGGGGCCGGGGTCTCTTGGCGTTATCCTTATCAGCTGCTGGTGAGAGCGAAAAACGGAGAGCGTAGGTATAAATGGCGCAAAGCACGTACCACCAAGTTTAGTTCTTTGCAGCTCGCCGAAGCATTTGAATCGTTTTGAACTCGCGCGCTCGCCATCCCCACCAGATCCCACCTCGAACCGGGACAGGCCTCTGCGAGCAGTTTGGATACTCTCTACCATTGCGATCGGTACCTAACCATGTGTGGTAGGGCCTAGTGCCGGCTGCAAAATGGTGAGTCCACCACCTAGATCCATTTGCCCCACTGAACCACTTGCAAAATGCGACACAAACCTTTCGGGGGCCAAAGAACGGGGCGAAGTTCCAGCATTTTCGTGTCCAGATGGAATCAGCTTCTGCCGGAGTGGAACCAGTTATTTCCAAGCCAAGCCGACGCGATATTCCCCATATGTAGTGCGCGTATGCGTCCCAATCTGTCGCTAGGCAGTTGTATAACAAAAAATAATCGCAGAGCTCTAGCAAAGCGTTTAATATATGTCAATACCCTGTACTGGGCCAGATAGAGCCCTAAGGAAAACGGATATATTCCAACTGCGGGGGTGTTAGAGGATAACGCTTGACAGTTTTGGTTTCGACAACTTTCTATAAAGTTTCTTTGAACACATAATATATGTATATGTGAAAATATTCTAAATCACTGGATTTTTCAACTAAGACTAATATTATTTATGCAATTGATTTTACTTAAAACTAATAGGAAAAACCTCCCGTTATATGATCGATCTATTTCAATTCGTAGAATCAGTTAAATAACCCTTAATAACCAGATGTGCCTCATGCAGGTCATCTGATAGTCGAACATCCCAAATGGTCAAATGTTAAGTCTCCTGATAAGCTTATCAAATCGCAGGCGTCTCTCCCTTTCTTTTTCGTTTTTTTTTTTTAATCTATATCAGATGCTCGATCGATGCCCCATCAGCCAGAGAGAGCAGGTGTCCAGCAGCTAAAGCTGAATCCCCAATAAAGTAACAAAGTATACTTTAATATATGTATATGGTATATTCGAATGTATTCCTTTTATCTCTGCCACGAGGGTTACGCCTGTCATAAATTGAGCGGACCTGTTGCCAAGTTCATGTGCCATTTGTACGAGTCTCTCCTCAGAGCACCACACTCACGTACATATAGCCATATAAATATAACTCAATGTCGGCCGCTGCTCTTGTAGATTCCGCTCGACTTTCCGCAGTGCATTGCCAAAAAAAAAAGAATAGAATAGTGACCCGTAGACGACGCGTTTGTATAGAAGTCACACCCGCGGAAGGGGAAGTAAATATTATTTTCAATTAGTGGCATATCGAAAATTGATTCTGTTATGTACGTATATATGTATATAAATAAACATTGAAGTAGATCAAGTTCAATACCAGCTGAGCAAAGAGCAAGAGAGCATGTTAGTAAGGGTATATAGGTTAAACAAGTTTAAAAAAAAATTATTTAGTATAAGTTAATATTTACGGATTTTTTTTTTTTTTTTTTTTAATTCTTTGCGGAAAATAGTCTTGTATTTTTAATAATCATTAAATGTAGTCAAACGTGAATATACGCGACATAATTAAAACTTAGTTTCCATCAAGTAAATCATATGTAAAACACGAAACTCTTGCCTACTTTTAGGCAATAGCTAAAAACAATAAATTAACTTAAAAGGAAGATTTTTATTGTATTATAAAGCACTATGAAGCGTCTCATGTTCTCAATCTATTATACTGACAAACAAATTAATAAATAAAAGGTTAGATCAATAAAAGCTTTAATTTAATCAACTTTTATTAAATAGTTTTCATGCTAACTTTCAATCATTCATATTCCCGTTTTGCGGAAATAAACAAAAGTCAGTAGGAGGTTAATTCAATTCACTTTTAGTTTATTAGCCAAATAAAGTGCAATCAATTTGTTCTTGAATTAATGCAAATCATGAAAGTGCATAATAATTTATTAGCTACAAATTAGCATTGGTTGTATTTCTTTCCCCGCACTCTGTGTTGATTCCATTTTGGAGAGGAACAAACTGAGGCGTAAAATTAATTATGTCTATGCGAATGCCAAGTGACAGGCGGCTGACATACTGTGTAATTAATCAATCGTGGCTGATTGGAAATTGTTCTTTATTTATCTGTAATTGCTTGTTTGCGGAATACGGAATTCCTTTGGCATTCTTTGGCACACTCCACATCCAGCGAGTTTGAGGTTCTCAAACATTTTGTAAAATTATATAAATTTGACTGATTAACAGGAAGAACTTCCTTTAATTTATATTATCTGTAAACATCGTTTCTGAAATATTTGCAATTATTTCAGTCATGTTTTAACCTTACAACAGCTGCAAGTTCAACTGAAATCGTGTTTGTTTGTTACGCTTTCGAAATAATAACAACTCGCACTGCGTTCTGATTCATCGGGTCAAGTTTAAAGTCAGTTTGTGACGACGAAAGTAAAGCAGTAGTAGGTAGTATAAGTTACAGCCTCTATTTCGCTTATAATAAATTTGACATTTTGGAAAGTAATCAAACAAAATGTGGTTTGCCTTTACCCGAGCGTTTGAATCAACACAAGCGAGAGAAGCAGGCGAGAGCAACGGTTTTAATTTTTGTATATTTCACTAGTCCACAAAGGAAGCATTATGTTTTCGAATAAATATTATATACCAAGCCTAAATCTTTTCAGAATCTGAAAAAACCTTCTCTTTTTCGCTTATGATATAAGAAATGTAAAGAAAACTCTATATAAATTATTTATTTTGAAGTCAAAAAAGTTAAAGTCAAGTAATAAATGATAAATTAATAAGTATACCTATAATTTGATCATTAAGTACATAATGCTTAGGCTTAAATAAATCTTATAACTACAAGAATATTTCTTTCAAAAGAATATTTATTTTCAAAGAAAATTAGTATTAAAATTTTACTTTATCATGCGAAGATTTTTCGTGTAAACCTGTGTTACCTATGACTATGAACAGCGGCAATCTGTCTGCTCGCTTAATGAAAAATGAGAGCGCCGCGGATCAGGGAACTGAGCGGCAGCTGGCACTTGATTGCCTCGATCTCGGCTAGAGTCAGCCAGAAGATATAAATAAGGAAAAGCAACGCACGCGCGTATTAATTGTTGGCTGTTCTAAACGGTCGCAAGTGCGCTCGAGTAATAATTGCTAGAAAATTACGCATACGCCGCGTGGTCAATGAACAGTGCTAGTGCTGGCTTTCGAAATAGAAATAAATGTCAAGTGAAATGGATAAAAAGAGCGGCATACAGGAAAACTATGGCCATCGTCGCCAGCCAGCTCTGGGCAAGGCCATGCCAGTAACATCCCTCTTGCTGAATCTACAGCTGGACCATACAAATCCAGCGGTTTACAGGCGAAGTGATGGTGGCGCAGAGGTACTCCTAGAAGAGGATGAGAACCCACCGAAATTTTTCAGGGTTACCGATGAGCCACCCTCGCCGAATGGCGGGGATTCCCCGCCACCCAATCACTACTTGGACAACCAACAACTGGCCGGGAGCTTACAGACAATGGATATCCCCTGCCGGAATTGCCTGCAATTAGGTCCGGATCACTTGACCGAAAGCGGCTCGGCCATCAACGAGATGTGCCAGCGCTTGTGTGGTCCACAATGCAGACAACCTCAAGGCCTTACGCTCGCTGGATCTCGCCAGGATTTCCTCAGGCAGTATGAGATCGCGGAAGCTGTGGCCAAGACCTCGGCCATGACCTCCACCGTTCAGATGAAGCAACGTCTGGCCGCGCGAAAACTGGAAATCGAGAAGGAAATGGATGTGGATGTGGATGTTAATGGAGGCGTGGCTAGCGCCCATATAAATATCAATCTCGACCAGAGTTCCGCTGCAACTGGAGACAAGGTGCCGCCTGCGATCGTTGAGTTTGAGCCGCCCCGCGACCTGCTCTTGTACCTGGTGAGGTAAGAGACTGGTATATTGCGTAGTACCTGAAATCTGGCACATAAGCCGGCCGACTGCCTGTCGTGCTTATAAATCAAGTTCATGGCTGGCAGCGTGTCAAGTGTTCTTAGGCGAAACCTCAAAGCCTCAAAGCCATTTAGCGGCAATCAAGTAAAACAACGACGTGCTCTCTGAAAGCGACAAAAACTAACCTTGCACAATTTTCGCGAAAGTGATCATGGCAAAATGTACAGGGTTGTCGCTATAGTTTCGCCCCAGTGAAAGGAGAAATAGAAATGAATGCCGAAAATGTCATAAAACAATAATTCAGAAGATGAACATTTAAAAATAAAATGATCAACTGTAAAAGGAAATCCAAATTATGTGAATAGTAAAATATATTCTTTTGTGTAACACACACAGTTTTTTCAAAAGCCAAACATAAGGAGATATACATTTCGTATATATTAGTTTTACAACAAAAAATATTAAAACTATATTAATATTTTTAGTAATATTAAATAGTTTTCGATATTTCAATATATTAAAATTTAAAATTACTGGTAATATGAGGGATAATACAGCCTAAAAATATTCACCTTTGTGAATAACGTATTCTGAAGGCTTGCATTGATTTGATTAGGAAATAGAACAAAACGGATATATGTATATGGCTTATTGCATATTGTAATAAAAAAGTGCGCAGTACTGTAGGGTAAATATAGATCAAATATTTGATACATTTAAATTCTATAATTACGATTTTTAGGGTCAATCAGAAGTCGTATACGGAAATATTATTGAGAAAATTGTGTAGTCCTCCTCTATTCGATCTCGATATACATATGCAGATATATGCACATATGTATGTACATACATAGTTTTGGAGTCAGTTTGTATTATCTTTTTTTGCCAAATTGATAAGCTTATCGAACACACAGCTGGGAACTTAATGGCTTTCCATTAAGTTCGAGCCTCTTCATAAGTAATAATTAGGTTTTAATCGTGTCAACGTAAATGAATTGAAAATATCCTATCTATTAGTATATATATATATATGAAATAATTTCATTTGGGTCACGAACGCGTCTGATAATAGCCCCGAAAGTGACACGTGCCTAATTATTAAGTCACGTTGAGCATTCCATTCTGATATTTGTGGGTATTTTGCAAGTAAAGTTCAGCCAGAACCCAATAATATTCTAACCCTATTATATAATTCATTTGCCTTTCTAGGAAACACAGATGGGGCCGCGTCTCTTTGACATTGCTATACTGACACTAAATATAAAACATGTCAAGTTATCTTAATACATGAACTAGAGTTTTCAAAAAGAAAAACTAAACGAAGAATCCCAGAAAAAGAAAAGCAGAAACCGCTCTAAAACTGAAAGTGATATTTTACTTGGTCCAGAGAGAGAGTAAAGTTGCAGATACAGTTCAAAATGGAGTTTCTAATGAAAACATCGCGTCTGATCGTCACATCGAAGACGTTCGCGCGACGTGTGGCCGTGCCGATTCCCAGGTAAAAATCCCCCAAATCGGATGCAGATACAGATACAGATTCAGATACCATACCGCAGACGGAGGCAGAACTCATTACGCATGTAACTGCGTTGCTGTATAAATTCTGCAGATACAATTGTATCTTTTGTCTGTCGCATTTGCATTTGAGAACATTTGGGATTCTGCTTAGTAATACAGCACAGTCGGGCATTATCTAAGGATGCTGCTGGCTATTTTTCCTTATTTTTTTTTACTCGTTTGAAAGGTATAATAGTTTTGTTAAGATTTTTACAGTCTTATTACTTTTCTAAACTAATGGGATGGTCGATACAAATTAAATTATACAAATATTATGTTGTAAATGTAATGTTAAATTACTGGAAATTCAAGAATAATAGTAATAACATACATTGATTAGAGGGAGAGATATCTAAGTTCAAAGAAATTTAATGTAGAATTAGGTAGAAACTTAAATTTAATGGGTATAAGAACTTCGGCTTTCCGAATTCGGTTCCCTGCCAGTTTTCCTTTTTTTCCATGCATATCTCCGCGAGGCGAACACTTTTGTTTTCATTAACTACAGCCCCCCAGCATTCTCCACACTTTCGCATAAATGTTTAACAAGCTGTCAGAATCAGAATCGTTTTTCTGCTTAGCATTTTCGCTCTCGCACGCACGTGAGCCGTACTGCGAGCCATTCTGATCTTGTTCTGGGGTATCTTTCAGATACATCTCTTATGCGAAATACTCGTTTGTGCGTACTGTGCCTCTCTGTCACACTCTCCCTGTCGGCTTGGGTCTTTCTCCTTCTCTTTTTCGCACGTTCTCTCCCCGGCAATGATCTCTCTAATAAAACCCCGCACTTCGTTTGGCATTCAGTTTCGCCAAAGTCGCTTGCAAGCGCACCTCGTTCCGACACATTTCGGCTACCCAGAACCCCAGAAAATCTCAGAACACAAGACCCTAAATCGACAAACGCGCACGTTTCAAAATATCCTTAGATCCTTCCGGTCCTGCTGCAATGGAGCAAGCCCTGCAGATGAAGCGAGCCAACAAGGCTCCCTGCAAGAACGACCGCAAGGCCTTCCTGCAGAAGGTGATGCTGACCAGGTGAGAGAAAGAGAGAGATCTCGGTTCCGATCCGCAAGATCCGAGCAAATACGAGGTGATTGATTGCGGTGACAGGCCGAAGAAACCCGTAAGCCCGAAATCCAGTCTCCATTCGCGAATCGCGATCCCCAACGGGAACTGGTTTCGATTCGATCCGATTCGATTCGACTTCGATTTGATACGATTCTCGCGGAGCAAACCAGCCCAACAGCTGCGAAGCTATTGACCGAGCGACATTTTTCGCCTTTGTTTTTATTTCGCTGGATTTTCGCGTGGGCGGGCATCTCCCAGCATCTGCCAGTACCCCCCAGCCTCGTCGTTATCTCCCTTTCCCAATCAGTTCTCCTGGGGTCTTCTTAGAATGATAGAATATGTGCTAAATGCGGATAGCTTTGATTCATTCATTTAGTAAATTTAGTTTTAGCATGGGGTTATTAGTATCTTGAAATTATATCAAGCGTTATAAAGGGCCCTAAGAAAACTTAAATCGATTTAAAGGACTTTATTCAAGTGTTTTTTTATCTTAATTATCACAGTGCCTTTAAGTTATGTGTCACAAATTCGTAAAATTTTATATTTAGATGAATAAAAAAAGTTTTATTTTGTTTGTTAAAGTGTTTTACACATTTTACAGCTGTAAACAAAGTGAAGATTAAAATCTCAAAGCTTTTCTTTACTTCTAAAGTTAATTAGCATTGTTAAGAGCTCGATTTAATCAATTAAGTTTAATTGTTTTAATATCTTATTTTCAAACTTTTATCAAGGTATTATATTTTTTTATATTTTACAACATTAAAAAGTAACATTGAGTATATGTAAACCTTTTTCCCTAATAATATATTTTCCCCTAATCTGCTATATTTGCCATATAAACTAATTGCAAGGGTAGAAAATCATCGATTTACCAAAGAAAGCTTCCTTCTTAATCTAAAACTTAAACATAACATTTAACCTTCTTAAACATTTTTCTTTCTCCCACAACACACAAAAACAAACAAAATATTGCAGCCAAGTGAAAATGGGAAAATTTTACACAAGTCAGCGTCATAGTCATAGCCTATTCATTTTCAGCATAATACTGAGAAAAATTCTTTATAGAAAACCAAACGCGTTGTGAGTACCTTCAAAAATAAATTTGAATTTATGTTTTTGCTGTTGTTTGCTACAAGTTGTTTGTTTGTTTAAAAAGCTTCAAGTCGTTTTTTGTTGTCGATTGAAATGCCAAAAGAAAACATACATAAGAGCAATATACATATATACCAGATATCTTTGGTATGGCTATATATTTTTGTTTTAAATGCAATGTAATCGAAATGTGGTAAAAAGAACGTTTGTTTAGCTGATTTTTTTCCACCATTACTTTCGACTTTGGAAGCTAATCGAATTTCATGATTGATTTTAGAATGGGCTCATTCAACTCGGCGCCAAAGATCAACAATGTCGACTCGCAGGACGATGGTCTCGAGTTGCCCACGGGATTAAGCACAGCCGCCCTCCTGCAGCATGTCCAACAGTTGAGGAACAGTGGAGGCCTGGAGCAATCGTCGCTCCTTACCCGCGGATTTCTGAAACCGCTTCAGACGGCCGACGATGTCACCGACGGACTGCGTTGCCTGAAGCTCAACTCCGTGTCGAGGGGTACGGTTGCATCTTTGCGTCATTCCATCATGCGGATAAATTCTAATATATTTGTGCAGTTTGCAGTGCGCCAGTTGAGGGAGAAGCCTCGCAGAATATCCGATTGCTGCAGTGGAACATTCTCTCGCAGAGTGAGAAACAACTGAAAATTAGTTGTATGTCTTATACTCATTTTAGGCTTTTCGTAACAGCTCTTGGCCAGCACAACGATGGCTTTGTGCGTTGTCCTGAGGAGGCGCTCACCTGGGAGCACCGCAAGTACCTGATCGTCCAGGAGATCCTTCAGAACCAGCCCGATGTGATTTGTTTGCAAGTACATTCTTACCCCATTACTACCTAAATGGCAGTAGTGCTTTAACCTGCCTTTTTTGTTTCCAAAATCAGGAAGTAGACCACTTCAAGTTCCTCCAGACCGTGTTGGGCAGTCAGAATTATGCTGGAATCTTCTTCCCGAAGCCGGATTCTCCGTGTCTGTACATCGAGCAGAACAACGGCCCGGATGGATGCGCCATTTTCTACAAGCGCGACAAGCTACAGCTCCAGGGCTACGACACCCGCATCCTTGAGGTGTGGCGAGTGCAAAGCAACCAGGTGGCGATCGCCGCCCGGCTGCGATTGCGCTCCAGCGGACGCGAGTTCTGCGTTTGCACCACCCACTTAAAGGCCCGCCACGGCGCCCTTCTTGCCAAGCTGCGGAACGAGCAGGGCCGGGATCTCATCCGGTTTGTGAAACAGTTTGCCGGCGAGACGCCACTCCTATTATGCGGCGACTTTAACGCGGAGCCAGTGGAGCCTATCTACGCCACCATCCTTGGCTGCGATCTGCTTCGCCTGGGCAGCGCCTATGCTGACGTGAAGGTGGATCGCGAGAAGATCCTCGCCCAGCCCAGCGAGGAAGTCGCCGAGTTTGTGGCAGAGTCTATGAAGCGGGAGCCACCCTACACTACCTGGAAGATACGCGAGGAGGGCGAGGAGTGTCACACCATCGACTACGTTTTCTACACACCCGATCGCCTTAAGGTGGGACTCCGAATCAATTAGAATTTACATTCAAACTTATCTTTTATTCACTGTATTAGATTAAAAACTGTCTGGACTTCCCAGCCGGCGAACAGATTGGTAAGAACCGCACGCCCAGCTTTCAGTATCCTTCGGATCACTTTTCCCTGGTCTGCGACTTCGAGTTGCTTCCATCGATGGACAACGGAAAGGGTAGCGACAGCGAAGGTGAAAACGGCACAGAAATGGAGGGCAGCAAACACGGATCCTTTCAGTAGGAGCTTCCAGTTTCGAAATTCACCACTTTAGAAGTTTCAATTACATTACATCGATTGTGATATTAGTGTTAGATACATTTTAGCGTCATAAACGAGTGTTGCACGTCAATTTGCAGCTTTTACAAATGATAATCCAAAATTCACAATAAATAAAGTATATAAGATGGAAGAAAGTAAACCAAATTTTCAAGCGGATAGTTTTTATTTTGGGAAAAAACGTATAGGTTTCAGCTACCGTTTCTAAATTGTAAAATATGCTTTATTTTTTAAGCAATGCAGGTTGAAAAATTATGCAAAATTTCTTTTCTAAATGTTTAGTTGTTTAAATCTATACGGCTTTCGTTTGGAAACTGAAATTAAAGCTACGGCCGAGTTTGTCTGATTCTATGATACCCGGTACTCAAAGCTTTATTGTTAAATTAAAAGACGATTGGGTTTTTCGGCAACACAACCAGCGCAGAACCTAAAAAAAAGAGTTAAGAAATTAATTTCTCCAGTTCGAAGCCACGATTTAAGACTTAACTAAATATTAAACTAAAACTAAAGTTGTAATACCCTTCAAGGGTATTAAAAGCCTTGAAGAGTATTATAATTTCAGTCAGAAGTTTGGAAAGCAGTGAAGGAGACATATCAACCGCGGCAAAACAGTAAAACTTTTCTAGAATTACTAGGAGAATGCAAAAAGTCGAAAGAAAACGCAAATATGCTCCTAAAGTTTACTTTATTAGTGAAAAACAACATGTTAAGTATGGAGAAAAAAATGGGACAGGGATTCAAATTAAATATAAAATAAACTATTCGATATTTTTGATCGTACTTAAAAGCACATTAAATGGACATTAATGCATGAAAATTTAAAATTTGTTTCATCAAAAGAATCCTTGTTTATGCGCCTTGACGCGCAAGTGATTCTGTATTTGTCACGTTCGAATTCTTAAGTTTTTTTTTTTAATTTCTTGATAGTCCGCTGAGTACTCTCACTAATATGTAAGTTGGAACGGGACGGATCGGACAACTATATCATATAGCTGCCATAGAAAATTCGAAATCCGAAAATTTGTTGAAAAGCTATTATAACTTCGCAGATTTTCAGCACATTTCTATCTACTTTGAGATATTGCCACTTTTTATTATTTCAGAATTTCATTTTTAGTTTTATGACAATCGGACGACTATAGTATATAGCTGTCATAGGGACGATCGGTAAATTAATTGAAAAGAAAAAATATAACTTTGATGTTTTCCTATACATTTTTATCTTATCTGAGATGACCACTTTATGTTATCTCCTAATTTCAAATCTTAACTTTGTTTATTTTAATTGCCATTAATTAATATAATAATAACCGAAGATCAATACATATATTTCTGGGGTCCTGGTTGATCTTAAAAATATGGAAATGCTAATGTTTTTCTAAAGACAACACAATTAATAAAATGTTACATGTATTTGAAATCCGACAATAAGGAATGCTAAATCTTCAGGTTCATCCTTTTCTATGACCAATGTGCACCTAATTCGGGCAAGGCTCGGCTGTAAGTGGCCTACTTTCAGGCGGAATGGTACAAAATAGCCCGTTTTACGTTAGCTGATACCGCGGGGCGTATACATGATTTCTCAGCATTATAATTGCCAAGAAATCCATCAACAATCTGGGATCGTGTTATAAATTACCCAAGTTCGTCACAAATTCGTCGTCATTACTACACATGGCATCGAGAAACGAGCAAATGCAGCGCATTTTACGCAGCCGAACTGGTTACGTAACACAACAAATATCATTATAAATATATACTTTACATGTATTTAGCATATAACAATTTTCACACCATGTTCACACTAGATTTTAATAGGTATAGCTGTCCTGTGGAGACCTTAGAGCAGGGCCAGAATAGCGGTCAGCACAAAAGAGGTGGCAACCATTGCATAACCGGTGGAGTAGACCTCCTTGATCTTGAGGAAGCGCCCAGTGTCCCACAACAGATGGCGGATGCCGTTGGCCGTGTGGTAGCCCACCGGATAGGCAATGATGAACTTGATGGCGGTCAGCGTGGCGCCGCTTAGCTGCAGACCCTCCACCATGGTCACATAGTGGTTGATGTCGTGCGACGAGATCAGGGCACCGAGACCCAGCGCCCAGACACCCGCGCCCAGGGCTAAACCGGTGCCGCGATGCATGATCGACAGCATGGATGTTAGCTGCGGCTGGTAGATGGTCAGATGTGGCGACAGCTTCCTGCCCAGGCGCTCGTTCTTCTCGAAGAAGCTCTCATCCTTCTGGGTCGATCCCACCGAGACCACTTTCAACGACACCTGCCGGTTGGCAGCGGCCACCTGGAGGCCCTTGCGCAGCGCCGGCGAGCGGATGAGCGAGCTGGAGAGTGCATACCTGCCAAATCGGTATAAACTCAGTGTTTTGGTAATGCAAGTGCAGAAATTACGTACATTTCCCTGTTTTTCACTCTTTCTTGTATGGGTGAGACCGTATTCTAATCGAGGAAAAAGGCCACAGCCAGTGATGCCACTTCTCAGTGCTTATCCGCCAGCGATGCCAGACTGCTTATTTTATCGTTTTAAAAGTTTGTATTGGAACAACTGTTTTCATTTGATTATATCGGTTTACTATCGCAAGACATCGTCGATAATTTCAGTAATCTAGTTGTCAAGCAAAAACCCATAATAATTTTTATATTAAATTCATTTGGACCCTATTTTTACCGGTTCTAGAAAATAAATTAGTTATAAAAGGGGTGTAGACCGACAAGCTGGCCGTTACCCATTAGTTATTTTTGTTATTCCCCAATTGCGGCAGTCTGACAAAATTGAGATTAGTGTGACCAACCAGGAAATATCAAAAATATCTTTTACAAAAATATCGATACTCGATACATCAATCGTATCGTTTCGCCATTTTTTCATACTCATTCTTTTTTCGTTCCAAGTGCGCGTGGCAAGTCGTTCCCGCTGTGGTCCCGGTGAAAATTCGCAAGCGATTTAGACGCAGCCTTCTGAAGACTTCTCCCAACCAACGCTAGCACCATGAAGATCTACAAGGACATCATCACCGGCGACGAGATGTTCGCCGACACCTACAAGATGAAGTTGGTGGACGACGTGATCTACGAGGTCTATGGAAAGCTGATCACCCGCCAGGGCGACGACATTAAACTGGAAGGCGCCAACGCCTCTGCCGAAGAGGCTGACGAGGGCACCGATATTACCACGGAATCCGGCGTGGATGTGGTACTGAACCACCGCTTGTCGGAGTGCTTCGCCTTCGGCGACAAGAAGTCGTACACATTGTACCTGAAGGACTACATGAAGAAGGTGTTGGCCAAGCTGGAGGAGAATGCGCCCGACCAGGTCGATGTCTTCAAGACCAACATGAACAAGGCAATGAAGGACATCCTCGGCCGCTTCAAGGAGCTGCAGTTCTTCACTGGCGAGTCAATGGACTGCGACGGCATGGTGGCCCTGGTGGAATACCGCGAAATCGATGGCACCAGCCAGCCCGTTCTGATGTTCTTCAAGCACGGCTTGGAGGAGGAGAAGTGCTAGACGACGTCCCAGATCCCGGCAGCAGGCCTGTGCGTGCGGGCTCCCAGTCGCCGCCGACCTCTGGGCGGAATTCATTCCCCGGGCGGACCAGGAGCGGATCACCCAACGCTGCAGGCCTACATACTCATGCATACCTTCTACATATTTATCAAAAACTTAGTTACAATTTGAGTCTTAAATTTATGTTAATCAAGCTGACAAATCCCTGTATCTCGATCTGTGCGATTTTAATTGATTTTGGTTAGAGAGCCCATCAAATTATTTCGATTCTATGTGTTTATTGTTTAACTCAGAGCAGCAGCCACAGCGGAGCAAGTACGATAGCTAAAACGAATAAATTACGCCAACTATTGTAATTAAAATAATATTTTGATAGCAACACCATAACTTTGTATGCAATTTCAATTTCGCTGACGAATACAGAAACTGGGAACACAAATACTGAATTAAACGGAAACCATATACAACTGTAAATCTGCATGCCTGTACTTCTTTGCACTCCGATTCCATTTACAGTTACATATATGCGTAGGTAGACGCCGACACATTGCAGCCGTCGCCGGGGGTCGGTCGTGTAAGTGCAAGCGAGAGGGCTACTCATAGCCGTCTGAGTCATGGAGTTTTTTGGGCATTCTCAGAGTTATTGACCTTTGACGCGATGTACACGTGCGGGTATACGTCCATGTGTATGGGCGCGGACATGCGCATTGGCCTTCGGCATGGATTACTATTTTCTGCACGATGCAGTCCCATTTGCCCTAGTTTCGCACGTTGCATTCGCCCTAACCTCAATCGGCAGGCGGACCGCTTATCATTTTAAGAAAATGCGCTGCTGCTCTCGCCATAAGGTGGAATTCTATAATCTAGTTCTGGGGCGTCGAAAACGTTCGTTTTTATCTGCTGGAAGGGAGGGCTGGACGCACCAACACCGGTGCTATTCTTGTTTCAGAGAACGTGTGGACCTGTTGGACGTCGGCGGCGTCGCGTGAGAGACGCGTACAGTGGGATCCCGCTTGGAGGAACTTGAGTAACTTGATGTTTGGATTTTTTAGTTTTCAAATACATTTAGAAAAATAAAAAATTAATGTTTAATAATTACAAAATATTTAAATGCATAATTTACTTGTGTTTTAATTTATGTTCTTCAATTACAAAATAACATTTATCTTCCATGTCAGGTGGACAATTTGAGTTATTTTAAGTAAATTTAGATTTAAACAAGTATTTTCCATTGTACGAAACTAAAATGTAGAAATTTTGAATGTGCAAAAAAATGTTCATGGTATGTTAAAGGCAAATGGATACCCTACTATATATTAAAAGTCGTAAATAATAAATTTTAAGTAGTTTTTAGTTAGCTGTACGCAGACTTTTGCGTATACACTTTTTCTTAGCATTTAGTTTAAAATTAAAAATAAATCGTAAGACATTGTTGAATAATTCTAAAAAAAATAAGTCATTGAAGATAATTAAATGACGTTATGTTATGAAAAAAAAATTGCTTACAAAATTGTAAAAAATGGCTAAAGGTTTGTGTTTGAAGTTTGAATTTGAAATTTTTATGGGGTGTACGCAGAGATATGCGGCTGAGATATGAAAAGAGCCATTGTTGAAACTCATGTCCATCTGCCAGGTTTAAAGCTACGTAGTGATATGGATGAAACGTTGAAGATAGTCTTATTTTCTTTGCAAATCATTTTATACCCTGCAAGGGTATTCAAACTTCCTTTCCATAGCTAGCTGCATCCTTTCTTGTAGTTCAAAATGTCCCATTTTTATAAAATAAAAAGAAAATAATACTCGTCGTCTTATAATATAATATATGTTGACAGAGAATATGTGTTTATGATCATTAAATGGCTAAATCGAACGGCCTGGTGATGCCTTTTGGGTTCAGAATACCAACCCAACCGAAATTAAAACGCCATGACATTCGGTTTACGTATAAAAATGCTAATAACAAATTAAATTTTATTCGTTCATAATTTTGATGCTTTAAACTGTGGCAAAAACGGTTTACTTAATGCACTTCCACCGCACAGCGGAATGTTCGTGGAAATGTCAGTCAGATTATGTATGATAGGTATGCTTGTTTCCGGTTTTGTTCATTCTGAATTTAAAAAAAACTATATATATTTACTCTTGCACAATTGGGTTTGCTTAGCTTACAATTACACTAGTGCTCCTCCATATCGACTACTGCATAAGTTCCCTTTATGCCTTCAGTGTGTTTAGAATGGAATGAATGCCGAACGCATTTCAACAAATACAAAAGTTAATAAGTTAACAAAATTCGCAAAATTACTAAGTAGTACAACTGAAGATTACACTTTTTGTTTTGCTTAGCTCCTGGGGGATTTTTTGGAAGTGATGGAGTGGTGTGGCGCCCTATAGAACTACAATTTTCCGATTATGTTGATAACATCGACGACTTTTTGCACTACACACGCTCTTAAATATACACATCATTAATTGTACAAGGACGCCAGGGTGGGCCGGTCTCGCCTGCATCACACATAATCCAGCTGAATGTAGATTTGCTTGACGCCCACCGCCTCAAAGATCATCCGCGTGTGCGTGACCACATACTTGGGATCCACGTTCTTCGACACCTCCAGCTTGATGGCTCCCACGAAGACGTCCGAGCACAGGGTCCAGAAGTGCGGCTCCTGCACCGCATACACTCCGGCCAGTCCCGTCACCTTCTGGTAGCACTGCGGCAGGGATCGATCCAGAGCCGAAGGCTGGCGCTGCATCAGGATAAGTATGGATTCCTTGATCAGCCCCAGGACACTGAGTGCAATCAGCAGGGCGATGAAAATTGAACAGATGGGGTCCGCTATCATCCAGCCGAACATCTGCATCAGCACGGCCGAGATGATTACACCCACAGAACCCAAAGTATCAGCAAGGATGTGCAGGAAGACGCCTCTCATGATCTGTGAGTTGCTGCCGGAAATATCCCCATGCGAGTGGCCATGGCTGTCGTGATCGTGGGAGTGCCCGTGACCTAAAAGCAAATAAAAATATATAATATGCACATACAAGCGTGGAAATAGGTCAAACCCGAAAAAAAAGTTACCATTATCCAAGGTGATGGCCTGGTGATTGTGATTGCTGGCGTCGTTGTGGCTGTGCGAATGCCCATGGCCAGCGGCGCTACCGCCATGAGAGTGACCGTGTCCGTGTCCACCGCCTCCGTGCGAGTGCCCGTGCCCGCCGTGATTAAACGCATAGATGCCAACCAAGTTGACCAACAGACCCAGGACGGAGACGACAAACAGACGCTCGTGCTTCACCTCCGGCGGCTCAATTAGCCGCTCCACGCCCTCCGACAATATGAAGAAGGCGATAAAAAGCAGGAACAGGCTGTTCACAAAGCCTGCCAGCACCTCGGCGCGCACATAGCCGTACGAGAACTTGTCGTTGGCCTTCCACTTGGTGATTACCGAGGCGGCCAGGCCCGCCAAGAGGCCAGTGCAGTCAAAGAACATGTGGAATGAGTCGGAGATCAAACCTAGTGATTAGCAAATAAGAGCATTATAAACCCCGGATAAGATAAACGCTAATTAACATTATGTTTGAGCACCCACCCAGGCTGTTCGTCCAGATGCCATAGAAAAGCTCCACGAAGGCGAAACTCAAGTTGAGCAGCAGGAACAGGAACAGGTTGCGGGAATTGCGGTCGGAAAAGATGAGTCGCTTCCAGCTGTTGAGCTTCTCACGCACCCGGTAGCCGAAGCTGCTTCGGTCCTTGTGCGACAGCGGTATCATCTTGGCGGCTCTGCGAATAGAGACACAGGAAAAGAAACTAAAGACCGGACCGTGTGATAACACTTTTGTTTGCATACGTGGTATTATCGGGGGGTTAGCTGTCGCGTCGCCCGCGTAACGCCGCTGGTTCTGACTCTGATTCTGGCCGGGCCCGAATGAATCTCTATCGGCTTGCGGCGGCGACGACTGTAGCGGCAGCCTTTTGATTTGCGAATTACTCCACAACGCAGACGCTTCCTGGTTCGGCTGGCTGGTCGTCTTGTTTGCACAGTTGCCGGCGGGGCGGGACAGTCGTGGAGCGGTGCGGGTGGGTGGATCGCAGAATGGCTTTCGCTCAATTCATTCTTGGCAGCCAGAAACCGAACCGAACCGTCTTTGCCAGCACCAATCTGCTGTGTTGTCATCAAAATAAAGGTAACCACGTAAACATATTTGCTGAGCGCACGCTTGCAACGTTTCGCCGTGAATGGCAAGGGCACAGCGTCCGTCTGGATGCTTACTGGGTTACTTTCTTTTTGGAGATTATAAAATTTTAAAATTTCCCTTATTTTTAAATTTTTGTTCTCTTTTAACTTTAAATTTAATAACCTAACAAAATATTTTCTAAATTCTGACAACAAAGGAAACGTTAGGGAAAGTATACTTTCTGTTTATATTCTTTCAGCATTTTTCATATGTAGTTAATTTTCTGAATATGTACATGTTTGTTCGCCAATTTAATATATGTTAAACGGCTTTCATGATTTTACAAAAAAAAAAAAAAAAAAATACAGCGATATTTTTACCCCTGAATATATGAAATAAATAATTCTTGTGTAAAATATGTACTTTAATGTTTTTATTTTATTAAATATTATTATTTTTATAATTTATTAAATTAATTTGAATTTAATTTCCGATACCCAGAATATACTTACAGAAGTAAATATAAAAGGTTTTAAAGCTAAAAGAAATTAATTATTATTAAAAAATTAAATTAAATAAATTAAATTTCATTTAATTTTTTAAAGCTAAAAAATTTAATTTAATTTAATTTTTTAATTTTTAATTTAATTTTTTGCAACTAAAAAATTAAATGTAATTTAATTAAATGTAATTTAATTTTTTGAAACTAAAAAATTAAATGTAATTAAATTGTTTAAAACCTTTTATATTTACTTCTGTCCACCTTAATTGTGGAGCTCATGAAGCCCGTATCGTAGTGAATGCCAGCTAGTGCAGCCAGGTAAAAAACAGGAACAATAATTTTGTTAAAAATCTTTGTATACTTTAAGCTTTTCGGCCCTGCAACAATAAAATAAAATACAATGGACCTCACGGAAATGTAATCAATTTGGTTTTTGTTTAATCTGATATTGTTTCAATATTTAAAATCGAAACCAAGAATAAAAGTATAATTCAAGTATACAAAAAAAGGTAATACCAACCTTAAGATAAATTTCAAGTAACTAGCAATGTGTTCAAATCAACAGTCATTTAGATAAAAAACGAATTTATAAAAGTTAAATAAATAAAACAATTTTTTTGTACATCCCCGAAACCATGATAGAATTATACATAATTCTACTATGCCCGAAACAGTCGGCTCCCAAAAGTCCACATCTTAGATGAGACTTAAAATACTTTTGATTTAAACTTAGTAAGTCTCGATTTTGTTATAATATTTGCGAGTTCTTATGAATATATCTTCTGTAGTAATAGTTTTTTAATACCCCACTCGATGTAGTAAAAAGTACTTTTAAGAACTTTATTACCTATGTTTTGCCTGGTGAATAGTTGTCCACAGCTGTTCATGTTGTCTTTTCTTTAAAAACGACAACAAAATTTTAGATAAAAACACCAATAAGTTTTTTTTAGCCGGCACCTGCTCCGCATCTCTTTTTAACAGAGCTCATCGAACATTAAAACTTCAAAGAAATGTTCCTTACATCAATAAGAAAGCAAGTTTATTCAACATTTCACACACACGGCGACGTCCTAGTGCTCTCGAATACAATCATTGTTCAATTGTAAAATGAATGCGACTAAAAGAATGCGTTGGGTAAAACATTTACGCCTCATCACCCTTGGTGGCACGTGTGTAGATGACCTGGGAATGATGCTGCACGACCTGCTTGATCAGACCTGGAATGGGGGAGTGAGGGGGCAGACATTAGGAATGTGTTGCAAATAACATAATGGTGCAAACAACGTACCCTTCTCGCGCAGCTCGATCAGAGCACGCTTGGCCAGGGAGCCACGGATCTTCAGACGCTCAGAGACCACCGAGGGGGTGATCAGCTTGTAGGCGGGCACTTCCTTGTACAGCTTCTCATAGGTAGCCTTATCGAAGAGCACCTGGTTGTTCAGCTTATCCCTGACTTTTCCCTTGGACCACTTCTTCTTCTTGGCCTTGCCGCCGCCGGAGCCCTCCTTCTTCTTTTGTGTCTTTTGCGGCTGCTTGGCCGACGACTTCGCGTCCTTCTTAGGCGGCTATGGGATGAAAAATGGTTTCGAATTAGTTATTTGCTTACAATTCACTCACTTATAGATTTATTTATTGCCGGAGCAACACCTGGAGCTGGCCGCTTTCGAGGTTAGGGCATGCGTTTGTTTTTCGCCCGGATTTTCACACTTTTCCACGCAATTGGGATATCACATTCATGGCACAGCCCAAGGGCGACACTTCAGCCATGTTTTGGTCTGATTTCCAGGGCACTTTCACAGTGAAAAACCATTATTTTCGAAGAAATCTGTAGCAGCGAACTCACCATCGTGAAAAGTCAATGCAGAAAGATGGAGGGCGGAAACTGCCAGAGTTACCATCACTCGCGCAGGGTCGCACGCAGTTATACCGATAGTTTGCGCCGGAGTGGCAGCCCTTCAATGGTATATTTAGTATTTTTAGTTAGCATTCGGGATTTCTTCCTGCCTTATCGCCACGGTCACACCCATTGCTTAATGTCAAACAAATATTTAAATAAATAAATAAATTGATCGATATGCAGGAATTCTGCCGCACCTGTGGCCAGACTATTGTTCCGGAGCAGTGCCTGCAGATCTTTTCGCGGGAGGGACGGAAACTGTTGCACTGCGTGCGGTCTATCACAAACTGCTGGGTGTGAAGACGATAGAATCCCATTTGGACTCCAGTTAAAGATTGTTTACTCCGTTACAGCTGCAGAATGACCAGGACTCACCCAGCTTCGTGTGCCCGGACTGCCAGGCGCTGCTCAAGCAGGTGCAAAGGTTCCGCCGGCGGTGTGCCAAGATCGAGAAGTATCTCGTTAGGCGGAGGGCCAAGATGAATCTCGGCGAGGGTCCCGCTTCCGTAGCCATGCAGCTTCCCGTCCAGCAAATGGGAGCTCCCGATCCCCTGGGCATTGATGAGATACTGTCGCCCATTGACGTCAAGCTGGAGAACACGCAGGAACCCAAGGAGGAGGAAGACGCAGAGGTGTATCTAGAGGATTATTCCGATGAAGACGGATTTGACAACGATCCAGGCGATGATTTCTTGCCTCTGCCAGAGGACTACGGAGAGCCACAGACAGCAACGGTCACCACAGCCGACAGAAAAGTGGATAAAACAAAAGATAAGTCCAAAAACCGTCCCAGCAGGCATACGATGCGGCTGGGCAGAAAACTGATCCACGTTAAAGTGATCGATGATAAGCAGCCGAAGCGCATTGTGGACCGAAACGGGCAAACCGCCAAGCCGTGCATCTGTGAGCACTGCGGACGCCAATTCCGGGACACCAGCAATCTCAATGTCCACCTGCTGCGGCACACGGGAACCAAGCCCTTCGAGTGCGAACAGTGCCACCAAAAGTGCTACACACTTCACCTGCTGCGACGGCACCAGCTCAAGCACACGGAAGGACCCTACGCCTGCACCTTCTGCGGACTGGAGTACAGCACCAACAGTTCGCGTGTGAGACACGAAAGGTATGACCTGTACATGTCCCTCCCTTGCTCCAACTATATAACTTTAATTCCTGTAGAGAGGCCTGTAAGAAGGGACGCGCCCCGCAGTCCAAGTGGGAGATCATCAAGAAGGGCGAGCGCACCTTCCAGTGAGTTTTCGCAGCAACAATTACCCTCTCCGCCTTGCTAATTATTTTCCTCAATTTCCTCCAGCTGCGAAGTGTGCGATCTCTGGTTCCTGCGTGCTGGAAACTTCACCCAGCACATCAACTCCAGCAGCCACATCGAAAATGAGCGCAGGAAGCAGCGTAAAACGAAATCAATGCAACCCGTGGACATAAATACATAAAACAAGAATTCGGATAGGAAAACGATTTGTTAATTAAATTTCAACAATTTGATTGGACTGCTGCGCCTTCAAGAGGTTCTCCTGGTGCATTTTGCTGTTTGCATGTACCTTCATGTTGTACTTGTAGCGGAAATGAACATCACAGATCTCGCACCTGGAAGAGATTCAGGAAACCATTAACGGGGGGGATAAATCGATCGCTGTGCTATGCCAACCCACCGATAGGGACGCTCGCCAGTGTGAATGAGCTCGTGCTCCCGGAGCTTTGTTAGTTGGTAAAACCCCTTCAGGCACACCTCGCATTGCAGCGGTCTCTTGTCGTCGTGGGTTATTTCGTGGCGCTTGAGCGTGCCCGGATCCGAGTAGCTCTTGTCGCACAGCTGACACTTGTAGGCGCCCGCATCCGTGTGCGACTTGACGTGCCAGGCCAGGGCGTACTTCGAGGCGTAGTGTTTCTCGCAGAGTTCACAATGATACCGCGTTTTGGTGCGGGGCATGGGCTGGGGATTGATTCGTTTCACGATCCGGCGCGGCGGTGCTCCATGGACACCGCTAGAAAGAACAAAAGTAGGAGCGTGATCTACGACCTATGATATGCAAGATTACCCACCTTTCGTGTTTCTGACGTGCTCCCGCATAGGCAAACGTTGCTTTGCAGTATCTGCAGCTAAAGGGCGTCTCTCCGCGATGCTTGATTCGGATGTGGATGTTGCGCATGTAGGCATCGTAGAAGGTCATGGGGCATTCGGAGCACTGGTAGTTCTTGGTACGGGTGTGCCGGAGTATGTGGATTTGCAGATTGTGAGCCATGCGGAAGGCCTGACCGCACTGATCGCACACAAAGTTCGTTGGCCTGGCTCGGATCTGAGCTCGACGTATAAGATTCCTCTCTTCTTTGGTCCTAGCGTTGGCTTTTCTCTTCGGTTTTTCCTCGGGACCCACAGTAGTAGGTTTGGGGTCGGTTGTCTTTGCAACAGGCGCCTCTTTTCTTGATTTGGTCGTGGACTTTCCCGTATACTGGCTTATCAGCTCCTTGACAATCGCAGCTCCAGGGGCCACACTAAGCGGGTCGTGTGAACCCAACTCGGGAGATTCCACCGACTCTGGCTTCGAGTCGGTATGAGGGAGGTTTTCGTCCACCACAGGCTCCTCCGGATATTCGTCGAGATTTGAATATTCCGAGCCCGAATAAACATCTAGTTCTGATGACTCTTCCTGGACTGACTCCAGATCGGGTTCTTCATCAACTTCCAGCTTGGGCTCGGTGAGCTTCAGCTCAATGCCAATGCACATCTCCCGGAATTCGATCGCCAGCTGAAGGGACATCTGACAAGCGGGACACATGAGCTGGGGTTCCCCTTCGATTTTCCTGATCTATAAAAAAAACAAATTACTTTAGTGCCGCGGTTTAAAAAGTTCCTAAGTTCTCAGGACAAACCCAAACTCCGCTAATGACTTCGATGTGAAAAATCAGCACACTGTTGGCCGGGTCGAAGAGGTCTTTGGCATTGTCATCGACAACAAAGTCCTTGTAGCAGGTGCGACACTTCTCCCTCGTTTCTGCCTTTGCTGCGGGCACAAGAGGATCGTCCTCCACGAAAACAGACAGCAACTCATCTTCTGTCGGCTTGGGACTAACGAATGGGGGAGCCGAAGCAATTCCCGTGTTCAATCGAACATAGTTGGGCGTGGGAACCACTTCTGTGGCAGCACTGGACCTGGCCTCATCCTCTAGGAGTAGTTCAGCCACCAGTTTATGGTTACTACGCCGCTTTGAGCGCTCAACTCGTGCTCTTTCCGCAGGGCTTTCCAAGCCCTTGTTTATGCACGGAACCGCACCCGGGCGCAACGTTCTCTTCTTAGCAAGCCCTGGTCATAATAAAAGGATTTATTGTAGTTAAATTTCCAAAGACACAGGCCAGTACTTACCCATTTCGAATTTGATAGACCCCTCTATGTCCTCGTCTCGGAAGTGCTCGATGCAGATGCACGGATTTTTTACTTTTAAGGCATTCTCTGAGCCGCGGCAGAACGCTAGCCATTTGTTGAATAACTCCGGGGACTTGGGAAACTGGAAGAAGGAAACCGGCTGCGGGTCCCTGTGGGATCTGCGTATGGAAGCGTTTCTACAATTGAGCACAACACATCTCATTTTTGTGCGCAATTTCGTTTCTTATTTTTAGATTATGTGCCGTGTTCTTTAGTAAATGAATTAATTAGTAAGAACTGCAGGTGCCAGACTACTTTATAGACTTATAATGTCCAGTTGAAGTGCAGTTTAACAAAAAAATAATAATAATAAAAAAAAAGTGTACAGTGTGAGTGTGGTCACTGAGCTAAAATTAGACCAAAAAAATATACCGGCAGCTGGTCACACCATATTGGCGTTGCCAGACTGACCCATAAAAAAACAACGATTTCATTAAGAATATTAAAAAAATTTAATGAATATTAAAAATCCGTGCTTGACTATTTACTAAATAGTATTTAGTTATATGGCCACTTATACATAATATATAATAATTATTACAAATTTAAAATACAAAACAACATATAAAAATAAGTCTAAATTGTATTACAATATTACAAAAATATTCTTAATACTTAATAAAATAGATTGTAACCCAATTGAAACATCCAGATATTAGGCGACTAACTGTAACCCCTTTTAGTGACATCAAAAATAATTATTGTCTTTTTTTTAATTCAAGAAGAATTATAAATCCCAGCAGGGCAGTAAGAACAAACCCCTAAATGTTTGGTATTAAGAAAATTCTTTTTTATTTGACTTTCTTACAAACAGAGGGACACTGTTTCTGTGCTCGACAATTTAAACGATATTTAACCTTTCCTGTGCATCAGCTTATTAATGCAATATATTCGTACATGGATAAATACATATGAGTAAGTAAAACTAGGACTAAAAAATACACAAATTTAGGTGATTATACGTAAGTAAGTGGAGGTTGGCTCTAATGCTTAGCCTTGTCCACCCGACCAGTCTTGACTCCACTTAGCTTCTTTTTAGGCGCTTGCTTGGCGGTCTTCTTTGTCTTCTTCTTTTTGGTCTCGAAGGAGCTGAAGTCGACAGTATCCGAGTCATCCTCGTCACCGTACTTCTCCATCAGACGGTCCATAAGTGTGCCGAAGTTGTTTTCACGCTGGTTGCGACGCGCCAGAATCATTTGTTGCAAGTCGCCACCGTTGGCCGCCAGATCCTGGTCGTCCTTCTCCTTCTTTTGGCGCTTCATGCGCTGCTCAATTACCTCGGCCTCCTTGGACTCACGGGCGTACTTCTGGTGGCGCTTCTTTCGCTTGGCGGCAGGCTCCTGGGTGAAGATTTTGTACTCTGGCACATCACCGGCTGCAATCATGCCCTCGACGATTCTTTTAATGCGCGGCTCGTCCTCCACCTTCATGAAGGGAATATGGTTCATCAAGTAGTTTATGCAGCCCTTGCCCCCCAGATAGGCCTTTGTGATGTCCCTGCGCTCCATCTCCGAGTCAATGTAATCCTTCTCAAAGTTGTTGATGTCCTCCTCACTGATGGGCTTGAATATCTTGCTCCAGAGGTCCAGCCACGAGGACAGCTTGTTCTCGACCCCGTCGTCATCATCGATGAGGCCCTGCTCGTCGTACAGGGCGCGCTTCTGGGTGTCCGTCAGCACCTGGTAGAGCTTGGACAGCACCTTGAACTTCTCGGTGGCCTCCTCCTTTTGGTCCTCGGGCACTCGGTCGGGATGAACCAGCAGCGACACCTTGTGATAGGCCTTCTTCACCTCCTTCTCGCTGGCTGTCTTCTTGAGGTCCAACAGCTTGTACACATCCCGCGTCCCGAAGAATTTTTCGCACAGCTCCAGCGTCGACATTGCAAATTTCGTTGTTTTTACTTTTCGGCACGAACACAAGCTCAAAATGCGCCAAAACGCTCCATTAATGTGACCGCACAAAGGATGAGCAAGAAATACTAGAAAATTACAGACCAGTCCGAGTACATAGCATTTAATACGGCGACTACCCGTATCGATGATTTTTTTGTTTTGTAAAAGATTATAATAATATTTAAAATATCACTGAAAAATATCGATATATTTAATACTTTTGATATTTTTTGTTCAATTTAAACAAATTGGTTTTTCTGCACAATTTGGGGATTCCCTTAACTGTTGACAATTTTTGTTGAATTTTCAACGATTCTGCGATTCAACAGTTAAGAGAATCCTCTAAATAAAAAGACGACAAGCTTCTGCATGTTTATTTCGCAAGTGCGACGACAAATTTGACGAATTTCCACTCGTCTTAATCACTTTTTCGCAATGCTTGCACTTCGCTGTGCCGTTTGTTATGTTTATGTAATTAGATTTTACATTCATATTCTTTTTTTTCAAAAAAGTTTCCTTTTTCCACCGAAAACAAAAAAATATATCAAAAAATATCAACAAAAAATATCGTGATTTCGATATTTGGGCAAAAAAAAATCACGATATAAATTATTGTTTTTAGACAAAAAATATTGATATATTGATATTTTAATATATTCCATATTCGACTAAAAATATCGGCAGGATTTACATACAAACAGTCCGAGATCCCGTTTACGAATTACCCAGCAGAAAAAGAAGCGGACATAAGCCCAAAACTATCGTTTCAAAATTATAATACCTTGTTTGTATTCCCTTGACGACTGAAAATATCGGCATCGGAAAACAAATGTTTCCATACAAACTGCTTATACGATATTTTCAGTCATTTAACGAGTCTGAGGTTGCTGAAAATATCGACTTAATATGGGATCATTAAAAATCAAAAATAATGATAACTTTTCTTTTTTTTCACTCAAAATAAAACAGATGAAAAGAAAAACTAAAAAATTATTATTTTTCATTATTTGTATAACAAAAAAAATTATTATTCAATTATTTATAACAAAAATTATTATATTTGATTTAGATTAATTCTTTTTGATTTATTTATTTTTTGCCAAAAATAATGATTTCGTGCTGATTTTTATTATTTTGATCATAAATAAAATTTTTGGTAGTTTCCCTAACGGTTGAAAATATCGGGGATATTTCCAGATATAAGTCATTCAGTCCCCAAGGCAAATACCCAGAAAGTTTTTGTCTGCTGGATACTGAAAATATGGGCGATAGTTAGCCGATAATTTCAACTGAAAACTGCAGTTCAATACAAACTGTTGAAGGCCTTAGCTGCTATGGCTCTTTACCCCTAGTTAGCTCTGAGTTTATAACTATCTGTTAGCTTTAGATAAATAAATAAATAACTTCATGTCACTATGAATAGCTAGTTTAGCTACAGAGCCAGGGCAAAATGAATAATAAATAAATAAATAAATACTGAAAACTGTGACTACAGACGGTTAAATTTGATAATCGGTATTTATATCGATATTTTGACAGCTCTTCCTCTTCGGTCACACTAATGCCACCGCAACCAACTTAGCTCCGGTGGTTGTCACTTCCGTTCTTTTTGTTTCATCGTCTGAACTGAACAGACGTCATGGTAAGTTTCTTCCCCTGATAAAATAGTTGGATAAAAGTGAAGTTTGATAATTGAAAAATTGCAATGCGGTGAAAGGCATCGCAGTGAATGTGATTGCCCTTGATCAATGCAAAGTGAACAACATGATCAGAGTTTTAAACGAATTTGTGTGCGCAACGTCCACGTGTCGGACATAACCTGGTGAATTTTTTCTTACGGCTTTTTCTGTCCGTTTTACAGTCTCATCGCAAGTTTTCTGCGCCTCGCCATGGCTCCATGGCCTTCTACCCCAAGAAGCGCTCGGCGCGCCACCGTGGCAAGGTTAAGGCCTTCCCCAAGGACGACGCCAGCAAGCCCGTCCATCTGACCTGCTTCATCGGCTACAAGGCCGGTATGACGCACATTGTGCGCGAGGCTGACCGTCCCGGTTCCAGTAAGTATCCATTTCCCCAATTCAAGCAGTCTCAGACCTTTTCCATGATGAGTAAACTAGAAGATTTATGGTTAGAACATTTATGATTAACCGTGATTATTTAACTAGGGCGGACTGACTAAGCACATGTTTAGTTAATCCTTGTTGAATGCGCTGGCACGTGTTTAATTGAGTTTCTCTCCCTTTGCAGAGATAAACAAGAAGGAGGTCGTGGAGGCCGTCACCGTTCTGGAGACCCCGCCCATGATTGTGGTCGGTGCCGTCGGCTACATCGAGACTCCCTTCGGTCTGCGTGCCCTGGTCAATGTCTGGGCCCAGCATCTGTCTGAGGAGTGCCGTCGTCGCTTCTACAAGAACTGGTATGTATTCAGGTCCACGTGTGGCATTAATTTTAGCCTTGGTGTCGCCGCCATTTTGTTTGGCCGGGTGCAGCATGCAAACCACTCACGAACACATGCACAAACCGCGTGGTTTCCAGTACAGACTGTATGATGATAAGATGGTATCTGAAAGAGAAAATATTGTTGAAAAGCCTTCTACCATCTCTGCTGCCTTCCTTCTGATCAGTTCTGTAAGAGAAACTGCGTGTGGTTGGTCTTCACATCAAATATTGGTTTTTGAAAGTTCCGAGTATACATTTAAATAGCTAATCTCCTTTATATTTTACTTTTAAAATGCTTAGATTTTCTTTTAAAATCCACAACCTTGCATTAGAAAGGTTTTGTTTGATTAATTCATTCATTATTTTGATCACAATTCACGCAAAATTAGTTTGATTTGAGTTTTACAACCTGTGTTTGTGTTTTGTGAGTGCCATGCTAGAGACTATACTTTATACACTATAAAGAACCCCTAATTAAATGTAAAATCAAATCATAAAGTTCTTCGATCAGCTTGCTGAGAGAGCTTTTCAAATCCCTGAAAGTTGTGTGAGCTGTCAAGTTTTTTTTGGTCTCTTTGAGCTGAAATTACTTGCCGAGTAAGCACGGCATGGAAGACTGCATCTCCGCTCGCCATTTGATTGCGATGAGGTGTGCTTCCTGTTCTGTCTCGCCCTCCCCTTGCAAACAGCGGCTAAGAAGTTGGAGTTGTTGAGACACGACACCCCAATGGATTGCGCCACATCTCGCTCGTGTTTCTGACTTGTGCATCTCCAACTTGACCATCGTCTACCAGGTACAAGAGCAAGAAGAAGGCCTTCACCAAGGCCAGCAAGAAGTGGACCGATGATCTTGGCAAGAAGAGCATCGAGAATGACTTCCGCAAGATGCTGCGCTACTGCAAGGTGATCCGTGTGATTGCCCACTCGCAGGTAAATTCAAAAATATTTTCTTTTACCTACATTACGACGTCCTTGGCCTTGTTGCGCCTCTGCTGCTGCTGGGTCCTCGGACTCGGCGCCTTAGGTGCGCCTGGCCTAAAAAGCATTTGCGCTGTGGTTTTCAATGCACAGTTTAGGAATGCAACGTCGCAGAGCAAACTGCCCCTCGGGTGGCGGAGCTTGATATATTCCAGTAACGGTGCGGAGCCGCTCAGGCTATGATAGCGCGGTTAAACCATATCACGTACAGTCCCAAACATCAAGCATCTTGCGATTAAAAGAGGCTAACCAAAGTCCTTTTTCTTTTCCTTAGATCCGCTTGATCAAGCAGCGCCAAAAGAAGGCTCACGTTATGGAGATCCAGCTGAACGGTGGCTCCATCGAAGATAAGGTCAAGTGGGCCCGTGAGCATCTGGAGAAGCCTATCCAGGTCAGCAATGTGTTCGGCCAGGACGAGATGATCGACTGCGTCGGAGTGACCAAGGGTAAGGGCTTCAAGGGTGTCACTTCCCGTTGGCACACCAAGAAGCTGCCCCGCAAGACTCACAAGGGTCTGCGCAAGGTGGCCTGTATTGGAGCCTGGCATCCGTCGCGTGTGTCCACCACCGTGGCACGTGCTGGTCAGAAGGGCTACCACCACCGTACCGAGATCAACAAGAAGATCTACCGCATCGGTGCTGGTATCCACACCAAGGACGGCAAGGTAAGCACTCGAAGCCAAAGCATTTTAATGATTATACTCTTCGGCTGGTGTATTCTGTTGCACTGATGATAAAAAACCAAAAAACAACGACATCGAACTATAAAAAGCTTGATAAACCGTGATATTTATAATGATAGGACTGATCACAACAGACATCAGCAGGAAGGGATTGAGTCCCAAGTGTCGCTTTTAAATTAACGTGGACTAACCAAATCCTAATTGTTTGCAGGTCATCAAGAACAACGCCTCCACCGAGTACGATCTGACCGACAAGAGCATCACCCCCATGGGTGGCTTCCCCCACTATGGTGAGGTCAACAACGACTTCGTCATGATCAAGGGCTGCTGCATCGGCTCCAAGAAGCGCATCATCACTCTGCGCAAGTCCCTGCTGAAGCACACCAAGCGCTCAGCTCTGGAGCAGATCAAGCTCAAGTTCATCGACACATCGTCCAAGATGGGTCATGGTCGCTTCCAGACCCCTGCCGACAAGCTGGCCTTCATGGGTCCGCTCAAGAAGGATCGTCTCAAGGAGGAGGCCGCTGCCACCGCCAGCGCTGCTGCCGCCGCCGCCGCCACCACCGCGACTGCTTAAGCTTCTTGACACTAAGTCGTATCACCTGCTTGCTTCTACCGTCAATTGCTGCGGTAGGGCGGCAGTTAATAAAAATATTTGGTTTTCAATAAGCTAATTTTTTAATGTTTTCATTCAGCAAGTATCAGAGGGGACTAATTGTCTTTTAAGACGATTGGCGAATTAAAAAGAGGGCCGAATGGTCCAAGCTCGGCTTTTTTTTAAAATCATGGATGCACATGGGCGACATTTGTACGCATTTAAATTGAACAAAAAAACATCTGCAGACTTTATTTTAATTTTTGAAAATTTGAAATATATCTCTTGGTAGCACTATAATTGGTGCTAATCGATTTTGGGCAATTCTTCGTTTTCAATGTAACTATGGTAACGATATTACTTTCGAGAACTTTTAATTTTTTTTGCCACAGTTGTCTGGAGATTTACCCATATACTATTTATAATATGTGTATATTGGGTCGAAAATACGCTAATATTAGGATGGTCTTTTTGATAACCAACTTATGTATACTCCCACCGCCTTCTCTAGTTCCCAATTATTAGGCCAATTACATTTGTAGGTTTTAGCACTTTTTATCTGCTTGAGCCTTATAATATGAATAAAAAGCTTTAATCATCAATCGTTATTGTTTCGTTGACTAGACCACCTTGGTTCCCTCGACGACCTGCTCGTTGTCATAGATCTCCTTGGCGTAGCACAGGTTAGGGTAGTCGAAGGCGGCGCCGTAGCGGTTCTTGCATCCGGAGGTGGACTTCTCGCCGGGCGTATAAACAGGCTTACCAACAATGTTCGAGGTGGCGAAGTTGCAGGTGAGCACAAAATGGTTGTAGAAATCCTTGGAGAAGCGCACGGCGGCGCATCCCACATGGGTGTTCTTCTCAGCGACGGCAATGGTGAACTTGGCCATGTTCTTGTTGGGGAGCTCCTCCGGGAAGCTGGACATGATGTCGGGAGAAGCATTGGAGCTTTCTGCGAACCAATTCTCGATCTGCTCCTTAATTATTTCCGCGTCTGTGTACTCTGCTTCTGCGCCACTGTAGCTGAAGATGGCGTTATTCTGTCCAGCATACGCGAATCTCTCCGTGCTGCGGCACTTGTCCGGCAGAGATTCACAAGTCCTAACATTAAGGAGAGCCAGATGGGCAAGTTCCTCGCACCAGGACATCTTGGCCATGCGCACGGCCACGGGTAAGCCTTCTATTTTACCTCCAGCAACCTTGTTGCGAATCTCATTAAAGAGAGTAAGAATAAGTTTGTGGTGGGGTTCGATCTTTACATCTCGTACATCTTGGGGACAGTTCTCGCTAAAGTTCTAAGGGAGACGAGTGAATGAGTGGATGTCGGGGGGACATTCGGTAACTTACTCCCTTGTTATTGCAGGCAATGTGCTTGTCCAGGCATGTGGGCAGGGCGCAGTAGTCCACTGCTTTGGCGGCAGCAACCAAAGAAACTGTCAACAGCAGGAACCCGAAAGCCTTGGCCATTGTCGTCTAGCTTTGCTCCTAGCACTTTGCTGTAAACTAACTCAAATGACCGGCTTTTATAGTCGTATCGCAGCCTGGTTTGATTTTAAATGTTTATATAATTAGTTGGAAGAACGATTTGAAAGCAGAGATTCTCCTGAAAACAGCTGCACACTTGACAGGTGGTGCTTTGAAACTTGGGGAGCGCATTTCCGTGGTCCTCTTATGTATAAATAATGGCTCTGGGCTGGTGGCAGTTCAGTTGTAAGCCAATTTCCAATAGCACCATGAAGGAATTCTTTGTTCTAGCTGTCCTAGCTGGAGTTGCCGTTGCCGTGGACTACTGCGCCCTGCCCACGTGCCTGGATAAACATATTGCCTGCCATAACAAAGGAGTAAGTTATCGAATCACAGACCCACTTTTAATCACTCAGAGTCGTCTCCCTTAGAACTTTAGCGAGAACTGTCCCCAAGATGTACGAGATGTAAAGATCGAACCCCACCACAAACTTATTCTTACTCTCTTTAATGAGATTCGCAACAAGGTTGCTGGAGGTAAAATAGAAGGCTTACCCGTGGCCGTGCGCATGGCCAAGATGTCCTGGTGCGAGGAACTTGCCCATCTGGCTCTCCTTAATGTCAGGACTTGTGAATCCTTGCCGGACAAGTGCCGCAGCACGGAGAGATTCGCGTATGCTGGACAGAACAACGCCATCTTCAGCTACAGTGGCGCAGAAGCAGAGTACACAGACGCGGAAATAATTAAGGAGCAGATCGAGAATTGGTTCGCAGAAAGCTCCAATGCTTCTCCCGACATCATGTCCAGCTTCCCGGAGGAGCTCCCCAACAAGAACATGGCCAAGTTCACCATTGCCGTCGCTGAGAAGAACACCCATGTGGGATGCGCCGCAGTGCGCTTCTCCAAGGATTTCTACAACCATTTTGTGCTCACCTGTAACTTCGCCACCTCGAACATTGTGGACAAGCCTGTCTACACGCCCGGCGAGAAGGCCACCTCCGGATGCAAGAACCGCTACGGTGCCGCCTTCGACTACCCTAACCTGTGCTACGCCAAGGAGATCTATGACAACGAGCAGGTCGTCGAGGGAACCAAGGTGGTCTAAGGAACGAGGGATATGCATGTAATGATACAAATGTACACAAATTGTTGAATATGGAATAAATTCCTGAAAAAAGTAAATTTGCAAGAGAAATAACGGCTTTAGTACATCAGCTGTTTTGTCAGCAAGTTGGCAGCGCGCATTTTTGGATGTTCACTTACCCATTACTTACAGAATCAAAGGTATATTCGGCATAGCAGATTTGAACACAAGAAAACAAAAAGAAAATAATTTAAAAGTCTTAATACCAATATTTTACCATCATAAACTCAATTTCTTATATTAATACGGTTATATAAATGTAGTCTATATAAGGGAAGTGTTATTTTCTGGTAGTCTTTCATATTGCTGGATATGCTGCAGTCCAAACAGTTTCGATTAATCCGTCCGATTGTTTTTGTGGGAAATATTCTGCCGGGTCGAAATGTTACGCGAAGCTTTAAGGACAGGCAGCAGGCGATGGTACAGCTATAAGTCTGTCCGTCGCCCTAACCTTGGGGCCAGCAGTGCCCCAAAGGTTGAGCCGGTGACGGAACAACCGGGAGATGCATCTACAACAGGAAATCTGGCCAAGCAGATGCGGGCCAAGATTCTGGCAACTGGTCCCATAACAGTGGCTGAATATATGCGCGAGGTGCTGACAAATCCCCAAGCCGGCTACTACATGAACCGGGATGTGTTCGGGCGCGAGGGCGACTTCATAACTTCGCCGGAAATTTCACAGATCTTCGGGGAGGTGAGTTATTTCCATTTAGAGTCCTTTCATTGAGACCTTTTCTTCCAACAGCTCGTGGGAGTCTGGCTGGTGAGCGAGTGGCGCAAAATGGGCAGCCCATCGCCATTCCAATTGGTGGAACTGGGACCCGGTCGCGGAACATTGGCCAGAGATGTGATGAAGGTGATCACAAAATTCAAACTGGGCGCCGAGTTTTCCATGCATATGGTGGAGGTTAGTCCCTTCCTGAGCAAGGCCCAGGCCCAGCGGTTTTGCTATACACATGACACCTTGCCGGAGGACTCGCAACTGCCTCACTATCAAGTAGGAACCACGGCCACAGGCACCAAGGCCTATTGGCATCGCCGGCTAGAAGATGTGCCGCCGGGATTCTCGCTGGTGCTGGCCCACGAGTTCTTCGATGCTTTGCCTGTGCACAAGCTCCAGCTGGTCGATGGAAAGTGGCAGGAGGTGCTTATCGATGTGGCTCCTGGGGCGGACAAGAACCTTAGTCAAGCCGACTTCCGCTACGTGCTTTCCCGCAGCCAAACCCCTGTATCGAGCGTTTTTCAAGCCATGCCCGGGGAGACCCGATCGTGCCTGGAATACTCCCTGGAAACAGAACGACAGGTTGGCCTCTTGGCCGGTCGCATCGAAAAGAATGGAGGCATTGCTCTGATCATGGACTACGGACACTTTGGCGAAAAGACAGATACTTTCCGGGCCTTCAAGCAACACGCACTACACGAACCACTGCTGGACCCGGGCAGCGCCGATCTGACGGCCGATGTGGACTTTAAGCTGGTGAGGCACACCGCTGAGAGCCACGGAAGCATCCACTGCTGCGGCCCCGTTGAACAGGGTCTCTTCCTGCAACGCATGCAGGGAGAGGCCAGATTGGAGCAACTGCTGGCACATGCCCTGCCCGAGAACCAGCAGATCATACGCTCCGGCTACGAGATGCTCACAGATCCGGCTCAAATGGGCAGCCGCTTCAAGTTCCTGGCCATGTTTCCCGGCGTTCTGGCTTCCCACCTGGAGAAATATCCGGTGGTCGGGTTCAGTTAGTAATTAATAGGAAGGACACCGATGTAAGATTATAAATATGTTGCACATGATTGTTAAACAAAATACGAATGCTATTTCTTCTGGAATGATGCGTTGATCGCCTGCATCTCGGTGGTGGTGAACTGGAGCACCGCTGAGATGGCGTTCAACATATGACGCTTGCCATCCGCGTCCCGGGTCACGATGTAGCTTATGATCACATTCTTCAGGTACTCCAGGTTGGCGCCCTCGCGCGTTTTGCAGCGCTCGAGCCTGGAATGCAGAAGGGAGGATTCAGAGTGAGCTTTAAAAGGAAGAAACACGAGACACACCTGTCCACCTGCTCCTCGAGGCATTCGATCTTTTCATGCATCTCCTGCTGCGACGTGACCTTGTCTTGGATGGCCTTCCTCAAAGTGGATTCAGCGGCGTATTTGGCCTTGCGAAGGGTCGTAATCTCGATGTCCTTGCGGGCCAACTCGTTGGCATAGTGCAGCATGTGGCAGTTTTCGCCCAGCGACATCTTCTTAGAGCGCACCTTCAGTTTTCTCTCCCGCTCGCGCTGCTCACCCTCCACCTCGACACTGTCGGCATCCGATGAGCCGGCCAGGCTATCGGCAGCGGCTTCGAGAGCGGGAGGGACCAGCGAGCTCCCCACACCGGTGGCCGAGTGGAAGACCTCGAAGGAGGTCTGCAACGTCTTGATCTCCTGCTCCTTCTCGTCGAGCAGCTGCAGCGATCGTTGGCGTTGCTTCTGGAGCAACTGCTCCAGCTCGTTGAGCTTGCAGCGTGTCTCGTTCTCCAGTTCGGCCTTCGCCTCCTGCCACTTCGTTCGCTCGCTCTTCAACGCCAAGCGCAGCTTTTCGCCCTGCTGTTTGAGCTCAATTTCCGCCTCGTCGATATTGCGGTTAAGCACTTGCACCTTTTCCTGCAACGTTTGAATGTGCGACTGCTGCAGCTGTGCCTTTTGTTCGAGCAGCTGCCGCTGCTGTTTGGCGGCCTCTAGCATTTGCTGAACTCCCTGGAGCTGCTGTTCGCAATGTACGTGGCTTTCGGCTGCCGTTGTGTTCTTGCCGCTTAGGGAGAGGATCTCCCCCAGATCCAGGGGATTGGCCGAGCGGGCATTGGCACTGGTTAGGAGCTTTTTGAGGCGCACCATCTCATCCACAAGAGTAGCCACATCCCCATCGTCGTTGACAGATTTAAGACTGGATATTGGTCGAGCATGCGCTTGTTCCAGATCCTGAAGCTGCTGCTTCAGAGCATGAATACTCTCCTGATCCTGCTGCCGCAGGCGGTCATAGCTGCCAACGGTGGTGCTGAGCTCCGCTAGGCGAGCTTCCAAACTGGCCACCCGGTCCTCGTGCAGTGCCGCCTGCCTGCGACTCTGGTCCTCCGCCCGCAGAACACGTCTCTGCTCCTGGCGAATGGCCACAGAATGCTGCTCCTTTAGCTGTTGCATCTCTTGGCGCACCTGCTGGAGGACAGCAGCGCTATCCGCATTGGCGGCAGTGGCCGCCGACTGCTCAGCTTTGGCCTGAAACTGTTTCAGCTGGGAGCGGGCTTCCTTTAGTTGAGATTGCAGTTCGCGAAGCCGACTGTTCTCTGCCTCGTTGCTGGCGAACTGCGTCTTAAAATTGTTTAGCTGCATCTCAATGTTGTCCTTGAGGTGCCGTTCGTCGGCATAGAGCTTCTGCAGCTCCCGAATCATAAGCATCTGGTTGTTTGTTTCCTTCTCGCGCTCCTGTCGCTCCACAATCCACTTGGCTTTGACCTCGTCAACGTCGCTCTTGGCACGGGCTGCCTGCTCTTTGGCTCGTGCATGCAGCTCCTGGATAGATTGCTCCTTCTGGGCAATTTGGCTGCGGAGTTGCTTCTTGTCCGCCTGAAAGGACGCCTCCATGCGTGACTTCTCCGCGGACAGCGTGGCCAGCGAGTTCATCAGTGTGATTATCTGCGTTTGCAGTTGCCCTTCGGCTGAAGCAGAAGCTGGTGCTGTGGCCGCTGCCCCCTCTTCCGCTCCATCCGCATTATCTGTGCTGCTGTTCTGGGATGCTACTTCTCTGGCCGGAGATCCGGAATCCCCAACGGCTGTGGCTTCCGCATGCGCCGCCAGGCTCGTCTCCAGCGCCTCCTTCTCCTTCAGCAGTCCCTTGTAGGCAGTGACCACGTCTGCAATTGGGTCAATATCACTGTGGGTGCTATAAGAAATCCCATTTTCTTTACCTTTGAGTCGCTTCTCGTATCGTCCCAGTTGCTCCTTCTGCGTGGAGACTAGGGCCTCCAGCTCTCTCTGCCGCTTCTCCATCTCGTTTCGTTGCTGTTCGTTGCCCTAAGTGTTTACCTTATTTCTCTCCCGAGGCATTTTCGCATTTCCTTCAATTAACAATTTTTTTTGTGGCAGCTTACCAGGCAGGTCTGCCAACTTGTCGGGGATGCCAACTTGTTCGGTCAGCTGATCAACTAATTTGTGTAATTTTAATTTAATAATATTGTTTATTAAAGCACTTAAATTTAATTATTTCTTAGAGGATATGCTGTTTCGATTCCTAAAATTTGGTATAGGAAATATAAATTATAATTAAACATATTCAAAACTAACACAGCTTAGTGATTTTTTAATGTATGTATTTCATGAATGAAACTAAATTTTTACATAAAATGTTTTTTTTCAGTATTTTTTTTATTTATTAACTCACATTTATGCTTAGTTATCAAAATGTTTCTCTTATAAAACATAATTTTAATATCTGAAAAAACAACTAAATCATTTTCCGTCTTAGGTTTGTAAATAAATAACGTATTAATTGTATTCCTAGTTTGTGGGATTTGAATAGTATCTAAACAAGTTCATTCGTTGTCCTTCTCATCCTTCATCATCTGATCAATTAGTCGCTTCCGCTCCTCGGCCTGTCGCATCTTCCTCATGACAAGGTCCTCGTAATCTGTAGCGGATGCCGTGCTTCCAGAGTTGGTTGATTTCAGTGGCTGCTGATCTGCCGCCGGCGGCGTAACCCACTCGAACTGCAGAGGCTTTGCAGGATCGCCCTTCTCGTACGCCAGCACCATGTCGCAGGCCTCACGGGTGCTCAGCTCGACCATGGCCCGACCGCGCCGCTTGCTGTTCACCACCAGGGCAACCACTTCGCCGTACTTCTTGAGGTACTTGAGAAGCTGCTCCTGCGTGTAATCCTGTCCGGGATCAGCCTTCCACTTAATCTTGATGCGATGCTGGGAGGAATCAAATTTGGTTGGCTGTTGCTGCAGTAATTGCTGCTCGGCGTGGCTGCGCTGCAGTTGCTCCCGCATCGCACGCTGCTCCTCTTCTAGCAGACGGGACCCCTCCCTTCTCAGGCGCTCGATTTGATCCTGCAGCAGCTCCTCATCGCTTCGGGCCACCGTGCTGTAGGGCTGGCTCTTTTGCAGCTTGTGTAGGGCCTCCCGCTCGCGTTGCTCTAGCTCCTGCTTGAGTTTCTGGCGCTTGCTATCCAACTGCCGGCTCCTCAGCTCCGCCGCCTTCTTGGCTCTCAGCACCTTGTCATAGGCAGCGCGGGCGGACTCGTCGGTAAGGATCTCAAGCGCCTTGGACAGCTCATGGAAGCGCTCGGCCGCTTTGGGATTGTCCGGATTCTTGTCCGGATGGCAGTCAAGGGCCCGTTTGCGATATGCCTTCCGTATATCATTTTGTTCAGCATCAATGGAGATGCCCAAGAGATCGTATAGGTTGATGTCACTGAACTTTTTGCTGGCCATTTTGCTGGAAGTACAACCAGTAGTTATTTATTTCAAAAGCTTTGCCAATTTGGTGTGTATTTCACCACTGTGAGCCGGCCAGCAATAAAATGAAAATACAAAATGTTTCGATTGTTTACAAAACGACGCGTCGCTTGATCAGCTGTTTTGGGTAGCAAGTTGGCAGCCCCGCAACACAACGTGCCCTTTTGCTTGGCGTGGAGTCTGGGAAAAAACCAATGATTTGACACCACCGGGACCAGGAGGAAGCGATAAGCACGGCATGAGCATCTATCACGACGAGGTGGAAATCGAGGACTTCGAGTACGACGAGGAGGAGGAGATGTACTACTATCCGTGTCCCTGCGGCGATCGATTTCAGATCTCCAAGGTAACCACGACGCGTATACGCAACATTTCCGGACTTGCCCGTAATATGGTAAATTTCCACTCCTACAGGAGGAGCTTATCGAGGGCGAAGAGGTGGCCACCTGTCCCAGCTGCTCCCTGATAGTCAAGGTCATTTACGATCCGGTAAGTGACGCATTCCCCCCCTAGGGTTGTAATTATCCATTAACTAAATAGTTCCGATTTTGTAGGAAATGTTCAAGGCTGAGGAAGACGAGGAGACGGCACTAAACGAGAAGCTTAGCGACCTGAAGCTCGAGACGAACTAAGAGTAAAGTGGCCATTGGTGTAATTAAATAGTTTTTATTTATATACTTTTTATATATAGACTTTGTTTTAGTGTAAATAATACGTTGACTAGTAAAACAATGAGTTCAAATTATTTAAGCTCGCAGAAACATTACAATTTGTTATGGATTTCGTCGGTTGTGTGATACAAATGATTTATACAATATCTAAAACTAAAAACAATTGTTATTACACAGTGTTGCACTGAGCACATTTCGGTTAACTGGTGGAGCAAACGCTCATATTCGATCCCAAAACGAAAATGAAGTGAGAATTTCTAAACACAAATCAAAGGAACTATGGCAGACCGTGTGTGGTATGTGGAAATGTGAGTAGTACAGAGTTACATACAGGGGAAAGCGGCTGGAAAAATATATATATGTGTATATAACATACACTTTACCACTTTCTGCTTACGGCTTAGGAATTCGACTTAAACTTAGCACGTAAATAATGCTGTTCGTGCATGCCTGGGCTTGGACTTTTTAACTTTGGATTCTTTTAGAGAGCGTGCTCGTTCAGCAAGTGAGCGGCGGAGAAGAGGCCACTGCTACCCCAATTAGATGCGTTTAGATGCCGTCCGAAAGGGTTCTTCGAGTGTAGGAGGGTCAGATACGACTACTGTTCCAGCCAGGATCCGGTGACGGCATTGGGTGACTTAAGCTTTGAAAAAATAAAACGAATTTTTATTTAGTTTTTTATTCATGTCAAGGTTGATTTATGCTCACCTTGATATTGAACTGCTTCAGAGTGCTTTCCAGGGCCATGGCATTGCCGGAAAAGTACGCTGCGATGGCATTATGCAGCAAGATCAGTTGCTTGTGCATCACTTTAATCTGTTGGGGGTATTAACTTAATTAGTATATCATCGAGTTCTCTTGAGTGAGGCCAGCTTACGCGATTTTCGTCAAGAAATTGCATTTTAACGGCCACGTCAGAGCGTAGTTTCTCGTACTGCTCCTTGTGTTGCGCATAGCTGCGCTGAGTTTCCTCTAGAGTTGCGGCCGATGGCGTCAGCTCCGGCTTTGTGTTCTCCAAGTCCATGCGGTAGGCATCAAATTCGATTCTGAAATACGGGGATTTATGGATAGTTGCATGTTTTTTTATATACATTATTTCTTTCTTCGATCCTTACCTGGCTGTTTCATATTGTCGTATCGTCAGCAGAGTGTCGTCGATCGTCTTGTTGCACAGCGTGTTTACCGACGATATGAAAAAGTTGAGCGCATTCAACAGCAGTTCCCCGTTCTTGGTCAGATTACGCTGAGTCTCAGAGTTGCAGGTAAACTCCTTCTGAAGCTCTGGGTTCTTCTGTGCCAGATCGGCGAACGAATCGGCCAACGCGTGCTGGGTGACGACCACGTGCTGGAAGTGCGAGCTGAAGGCGCGCGTAAGCCGCAAAATGGACAGATACTTGCGCTGCGTCTCGCGCAGCTGCTCGATCTGAGCCTCTAGCTCAGAGTCAACCGTTCGCTGTGACTTGCCCAGCTTCTCCAGCATAATCTGGCGCGTACACTTGTATGTGGATATGCTCCAATTCTTAAGGCTGTCGATTTTGGAAGCGCTTGTGCGTATGAGGCTGCCGCTCCCGCTGTCTGTGGGACTGAGGATCCCATTGCCAGAAGGCGGGCTTATCGGCGACATCGGTGTGGTGGGTGCTGTGTTGTAAATCGATTTAAGCAATGAGTCAGATATGGTACAACCGGAAACACTGATATGCTTGGGGCTCACCTGAATGATTTCGCAATGGCAAACTGTTGGGGGCACTGAAGGGACTAACGCCGCCGGTTCCAACTATGCCACCTCCACCGCCGCCAATGCTGTGGCTACTGGAGCTTCCAATGACCATGCTGCCGCCTTCGGTGCCCGTGTGCACAGCCCCGCAGCTATCGTTCAGCGAGGGTGCATCTTTCAGCATCTCGTGAATGCTGCGTTCGCGTTCCGCCATGTTAATCGCTCTTTATCGGACTCCAACCGTATTTAATTGCCTTCGGAAAATTGTTTTTCGTCGCGGTGTATGTGTGCGTGCTCAGTGGGTGGAGGTGCGGGCGGCTGCGGTTGAATTTCAACGCGGAAATCAATATCGCACGTTGTGCGAAGCAAGTCCCCAATGTTGATCTCCAATTCTCCACGCCAGGTTTTTTTAAAGGATCAGAATCTCTAAAAATTTGTTTTAATCTTCAACAAAACTGTGTTCCGCAAAGCTGAAAATAAATATGACCGTGCATTGAAAGATTTTTAAATACCGCCTGTCGCATGTCCTGCAAGCTGCCGGCTCTTAGTATTTTTATAAAAAAAAAGTGTTTTGACGGGTGGTCTTGAGAGAATCAGAAAGAAAGAGATTCAACTATTCAATTAGTTTCATGATTAATTAGGGGATAGCGATGGTTCCAGTAATTTAGCCATTCAGTTGTACAGGAATCCCCTAAATATATAAAAACAGAAAAATACATACAAGAAAAAAAACTTGGTATTTTGTACATAATAGACTGCTGTCTCACTAAAGCAAAACATTTTTTGGGGATTTTGTGAAAACCCTTATTCTCCTTGATTCGCATCGTATGCTTGTTATTCAATCCTTTCTTTCACTTTTACCTGCGAAAAATGGTTTACCTTAATATATTGCTCGGACTAGGCGTCGTGTTGGTGTCAGCTGCCGCTGCCATCTACTTTAGCCAACCAAGTTACCAGCAAACGCCGCCTTATCGCCATCGCCGCCGCAACGACGAGGAAGATGATGCTGGGTCTTTCTGTAGCGATACAAAAAAGCGACGAAACTTAGGCCAACAGCAAATGCGCGGCAGGTTTGTCCGGAAATCAGCAAATTCCAACAGAAACCATTGCAACTTGTTATTTAATTGCAGCAAGCCGGGCGACAAGTGCTCCGTGTGTCTTGATGAAATGGCGGTGGAGAACATACACAAAATGGAGTGTGGACATGCATTGCATAACGAGTGCTTCGAGGAATATCGCTACTTGCGCAGGAACTGCCCACTATGCAGCCAGACTGTAAATCCCAGCCTCCCCGGCGACAACTGCACAATCTGCCTGGACCCACTCAATAGGAATGACATGGTGTTCCTTCGTTGTCAGCACGCTATGCACCAACTCTGCTACGAGCAGTTCATTGATAGTGGAGCTAAAGTGTGTTCGCTTTGCAGGAAGGGACTCTAGGAATCCGCGAAAGCAAGCACAAAGACCGAAAAACAGGCTCAACAGTGAAACCCGAGAACCCTCGGCCTTGATCTTTAAAAGACAAAAGCGATAAGCAATCAAAGCAAGTCTGTCTTAGCGTTTAATTGTCATACTCTTTTTCTAAATAAACAACACAAAATGCCTTAGAGAAATGCCTCTAGTACGGGTGCCGCAATCAGACTCCAGCTCTCCCGCCAGCGCAGCTCCTGGAACTGCTGCAGGCTGCGTTGGAAGCCAGCTCGCGTCTCCAAAATGCTTGGGTTTTTCGGGAAGTGCTCGAACCAAATGCGTAGCTGTTCGGCAAGCTGGACGTGGTCTGCAAACACGAACCCGTTCTCGCCGTGCTTCACTAGCTCGTTTAAGCTGAAAATAACATTAAAAAGAGTTAAAAACAAGTGTCTTATGCTCTTATCTAACTTTCATTTCTGACTTATCTTGTGTTACAAATATTTGCTTTAGAAATGACAAATACCGAAGGGCATTGGGTAGTACTTACCATTTGAAGTCATAGGCGCATACGGGCAGGCCGCTTCCGAACATGTCCACTACCTTCATGGGTAGATCAAGACCACTGGTGCTCCAGTGAAGGCACACTCCTAGATCGGCGCTGGCCAGCACAGTGGGATAATCTTCGATCTCCAGCCATGGCGTGATCACAGACACCTTTTTCCACTGCAGCCGGGCGATCTCCGCTGCATAGTGTTCCTTTTGTGGCCCCTTGCCGGTAATGATGCACAGCAGCGAGGGATACACTAAGGGCTCGGCTTGGGCGGTCTCCTCATACGATTGCAGGGCCTTCAGAAGGATGCCGAAGTCCTCGTCCTGCGTCCAGCTTGTGCTAGATACCAAAACAGCATGGCGCTGCGGCTTGTATTGCACGGTACCATTGGCCAGCTTTTGCGTTAGTGCTGTAGCCTGTACCACATCGGACTGGTTGTTACCGACGCTTTGGAATTGCGGATAATCTTTGGCGAGCTTAAGGAACAGCTCGTGCTTCTGGGGAAGATCAATGGGGTGGAATTGCGTGGGTGCTCGATCATAGAGAACGTTAACGGGCCTAAATATGAGACAGATTAAAGATTTAAGGCGGTTGTCAGCTTAGTGCGGATAAATGATGCTCACCCAATCTTCCAGTTTTCCTGGAGGTCCTCCTGCATCGCCCGCGTCACACAGAAGTGCGTGTGCGCCTTGGAGCCGAAATAGCGCTCCAGACGCCGTACCAATCGGATCAGAGGACTTTTCTCTCCGCCGGACATGCCCAGGGCCAGCACTGTGTAGGTGTAGTTGTGCCAATCGATGGCCAGCTTGGTGCGGGTGAGGGCGCAGTACAGGTAGCACACAAACAGCGTGGGAATGCCGGGCGGATTCTGGACGAGCAGGAAGCTGGGTCGCCGTATGGAGATGAGGGCCATCAGCAGGCTGAGCGTCTGCCAAAAGGCCTTGAAGAGCAGTCGCAGCTTGGGAGTGAGGTTGGTCACCGGCACTGCCGTAAGCTCGTGGATGCGGCACCGCGGCTGCTGGGTAAGTCCCTCCAGAGGTCTCGTCTCCAGGTAGCCGATGATGTCCACGTGGTAGTTCTCCTCCAGTAGACTCTGGGCATGGTACTGCATACGTGGGCTACGGCCAATGTCTCCCAGCACTATGACGCACGCGTTTCGCTTTTTCGGCGGCACTTCCGTCATCGCGGGGCAGGGGAAACAAGAAATGATCAATAATAAAGGAAATTGCGCGTTTTGTTTGTGGTTGAAATCCTGCGGAGCAGTGTGGCTTCTCCATTGAAAAATCAGTGTTACCGTGACTTGGCCGATCAAAAATACCACCCGGCCGAGTAGTTAGTTCTATTTTAATACCGCTACCAAAAAAGTCTGGTACTTCTGGTCGCTCGGTCTGGTCTGGCAACGCTGGTCGCTCGGACCGAAAGGTCTGGCAACACAAAATTAAAGTTGATTTTTTTAAATTAAATTAAATAGTATTTCATTGCCGATTTTCCCGAAATAAAATTGAATAGGTAAAGCATTTGAAAAATAGATATTAAAATTTAGAGTGCGTTTAGAAAAACGTACTTATCTTTTTTTATTTTTTATTAACAAAAGCTTGAAATAATTATAATTATATGTATATATGCCAATCTTTTAAATAAGACGCCCAGTTTAAAATATTGCAATTGAACTTTTATGTTAAATTAAATTATTTTTTATAAGTCAGATTTTCTTTTAGTTTTTTTTAGCTGTTTATTTTGGTAATCGAGCTTTTTTTCTCAGAAAAAGTGACATCACTGCTAACCAAACATTCAAACTAGAGCTGGGCAATCATCGATGTTTACCTACATCGATGTTTCGATGTTTTTCGGAAAAAACATCGATGTATCGATTCATCGCCGCTGTTTTTTCCAGCTCTAATTCAAACATTCAAACATTCAACGAAGTCGGACGTGTTCGGGCGCGAGTGCGGCACTTTTTAACGGGATTTAAGCTCTGCGCTCCCTGTGTGTGTGTGCGCGTGTGCGTCGCTGTGTGTGTTTACCCGCGGAGCTATGCTACAATATTTGAAGCAACTAATGCTGATATAGAGGAAATTATCAAATTAAATGCAAAGTGAGACAAACGAAAAGCAAAAACCAAAGTAAATTTCAAGTCTGCCATATTGTGGTGTGTTCCGTTCATCAGAGAACCGCAAATACGCCGGTAAGTAAAATCAGGAAAATTGCTTGCAACTGCCGTTATTTTACGCATTTTCGCCGGCAAAACAAGCCGGTTTTCCACCCCCCATTTGGCGCCTGTCTACGCTGGTGTGTGTGTGCGTGTGCTTTGGGGGTGTGTTGGTGTATGTCTGTGTGTGGGGTTATTTCAAACCATCGAATTTCGATGAAGTGGAAATGTAAATTTTTGTACACGGAGCACTACTACTATTTCCCGGATAACCTTATGCAGGTTTGGTTTTTCCTGTATGCATCTTTATTTGCTTAGTATTATTCCTGTGCTATCATAAAATTTGTCACGCAAGTGTCTGGCTGTGCAGACGTACAGTGAAGCCTCCCGAGAAGAAAAGCTTTAAGTGTTTGTGTGACATTAACAGGATTCCTAAATTATGAGGAGATACCTTATACCGAACTTAAGAGCGTTGACTAGTTTATTGAGAACACAAACTCGGATTGAATGATTTTTCTCTAAGTAAAATTAGAACATTTTCGGATGAAGTCTACATTCCATTAATAATGGAAATTACCAAATTAAGTTTCATTTTTTACTTGAATCTTGCTTTGATTAGTTTACTATATCGAGTATGCACTGTAAATATGCTCGTGTGCTACACGTACTTTATCCCATTAGGCCCGTCTGCAATTCCTGATCCAGACGCGATACTCTCTCGCTCGTTGTCCTTCCGCTTCCTGCGTCCTTCGCAAAAGGCAAATAGCCAAACTGCCACCCCCAAGTAGGCGGTGGGTGGTTGCACTGCTTTCCTCTGGGTGGCTGCTTCTCAGGGGTGAGTGCCTGGCTGCTGCTGCTGCTTTTGTCTCGTGGGGTTGGCCGGGCCCGCAAGCTTCCACTGTTGATTTTTGATTTCTGTGCGGCTTTTATTGCGCTGCAGAAGTTTTTGCGCTCCTGTCGCCTTTTTTTTGCAGCTCTCTAGTTTCTTTCTTGTTTCTTATTGCGACCATTTGGCATAGAAAAGTTGTCGTCGGTCTAGACACAGGTCGTCTAAAGGACATTTTTTTATTATAAACAAATTTGTGCCTTGGAATAATGAATTTCATACATATGTATGTTCGATTTAATCACTGTGAGATGATTCTTAATAAAAATTAAAAGATTTTGGATTTAATTATCTGAGTTGAGCATAACAGACATACGGAAAGGTTTTATAGAACTTATAGTGGATCTAAAAGATGGATTATTGTGTTCATTATTTTATTTAATAAATAAACTGCACAAATAAAAAAAAAAATATCAAAGTTTAAATCGAGTTAGATCTGTGTTTATGTCGGTTTTCCCTTATAAAAGCGTACTCTACTTTATAATAATATTTTAATGAATATAATAATAAGCTTCATTCTTAAAATATCTAGTTATATGGAGATGGGTGCAACTGGCGGTTACTGCTCCTTCTTTCTATTTTACAAATTATTACATTAAAAAGAATAAATTCACATTTTCGGAATTAACATGTTTTGCTTTTATACACATTTCCTATTTCCTAAAATAAGTAACTGCAATTTTTCTCTTTACCTCGCTGAGAATGCATTTCAATGCATATTTTGAATTTATGCGAACAAAATTTATTTTTGTGCAAAAAACTAAGAACTAAAAATGTATATTTCATCTCTTTCAGCTACTCCGGCAAAACATATCAAAGACAGGATTATTTGTGACTGAGAAATTCACTTTAAACAGCGCTTGAGAGAGAATAACTTTGACAGGTAAGACTCCCAGCAAAGGGCATATGTGTGCGTATAGGAAGTGGGTGATGGTGCGAGGTGGCTGACTCACCTGAGTCAGGCATCCGAGGCAGTCAGCCTGAATAGTCGATTATCGCTGCATCTAATTTGTATGCCAAAGCCGTTGAGCTGCTGCCCGCATCCATCCCGCTCCGAACAGCAAAGGCGCGAGCTATTTGAATAATTCGCATCATGGACTCTCTCGGATGCCTGGAATAGAGTCTCCAAATGGGGCAGAACAGAGCGGATTCCGATGGGCAGCGGTGCCGGGAAGACGGCGCCGCATGCAGGCAGCTGCGTGAGCTTGTAAAATGCCAGCAGCACACAATGCCAAATATCCTAAACAAACTTCCGCTTTGCAGACGCCCCGACGGAGAAGAGGTGGCTATAATTAAAATCTGGTCGGAGAGACACCGGCAAGTGCAGCGCATCCAGGCCCCTTTTCCTATTTTCGTTGGTTCCTCCCATCGCCCCCTTTTTGATTTACGGTCCAAACACTGAAAATGCTGACAAAGGGGATGTTGGTGATTAAAAACAGTGTCGCTTTCTAAATGTATAAATCGAAAATAGTACAAAAATGAGTAAATAAATCATTAACATTGATTTTAAAGAAGAAGTTAATATAATAAAAGTACTCATTTGTTACATTACATAATTACATACATAATTCTATGCAACAAAATATCTGTACTTTAAAAAGTTGGTTTAATAATTTTGATTAATAATAATACCTATCTATAGGTACAAAATCCATTTCACTCTTCGCCAGCACTCAGTTTTTCTCCCAGTGCACTACGCAAGATCTCTTGCTGGGCACTGATCGACACCAAGTGTCTTTGACATTTTCGAAGTCACAAAGACAAAGGGAACTCGGGAATAGACAAGTACTTGTGCGGAGAAACTAGCGGCGGAAGTGCTCGTTCTCTTTGTCTAACTCTCTGCCAGCTCCTCAATTTGTATGGGATGGAGGGAGGTGTAGGGTAATTGGGTTCAATCGCCACACGTGACAAACATGTGGAACAACTTGGGCCGAACTGGTCTGGACTACGAGCTCTGTATCAAGAGGCAAATTACGCGGTCCAATTCAGGTAGAAAGAGACTGAGAAGTCGCCTCGGGTCAATGACTACAGTTCTCTTCTTAGTTTAGCAATTTTTAATTTAGAGTAAAGACGAATTCAAAATGAAGATTCTTTTAATTTATATCTTTTTTGTATCTATGAAGTTACGTAAATAAAATCTGGAACATTTGTTGTTGCTTAAGGGGTTATATACAGTTGTACCGCTCAAAAAAATGAAATTTTGTCGATTTTTTTTTGACATCATAAAAAATATTTTTTAAAAATGTTTTGCCGACGTTGTTTAGTACATGTTTCTGGGTACTTTATAAAATTTTTTCATAAAAAAATATTAAATATTAAAAATGTTATGGCCGAATTCCAAGATCGTCTTTTTTTCGATGTTGACTTGCGGTGGACATCATATCCCGAGAACGGTTCATCCGAAATCAAAAATTAAAAAAAATTTCGTTAGTATATTGTATTGCCTAGTCCTCTAAACCATGGATTTGTAAAAATTTTGATTAAAAAAAAAATGGCGACGGTTTTAACAAAAAATTTACTTTTTCAAGGTATAAGATTTTCGATTTTTATGCTCTAAAAAAAAAAGTTTAAAAAAAAATTTAAAAAATTCTTCGTTAGAGGACTAGCTATTGTTATAATAAATAAGTGGTCCAAATTTGGTGTTGATCGGATTACTAGTTTTTTAGTAATCGTGTCCACCGCAAAGGTAACTTCGAAAAAAAACGATTCTGAGATAATCGCGTTTAAAGTTTCAAGTTTGTTCCGGCCGACGTGCAGGTCGTGCGCTATAAATAGCTACAACTTCGGTTCTAAAGATCCGATCGTTATGAATTTTTGTGAGAGTATTCTCAACAGTATATACTTGAAGACTATGCAATAAAAAAAAAGTCGATTTTTTTTATCATCACAACTGTATATAACCCCTTAAATGCCTAGTGCATGTCTTTAAAAAGATTCAAACATAATCGAATATAATTCAAACATGTTAATATTTAAATATACTCCCATTTCTTAAATCTTAAATTAGTGTACCCTTTACTTATCCTTCAGTACTTAATTCAATATATTCAAATGTTACTGTGAGTTCTTTATATTTTTTAGGCTATTATTTAACATTAAATTTCTGAAAAGGCTGTACTGAAAAAGCAAAGTTTAACAAATATTTTATAAATATAAAATCCAGAAAAAAAATCCAATTTCCGTGTAGCCACTGCAAAGGAACTGGAAATTCCGTTCAACTGTCGGATGCAGATGCAAGTTGCCAGCGGGTCATTTGCGTTGACGCTTTTATCCCCGCACGTGGACACGCGAATGACTGAATAACTGACAGGTTGACTGACTAACTGACCGAATGAATGACTGACTGACTGAGTGACTGGCATGCAACAATTGCAAAGAGAAAGGTGCGAGTCGAGGAAGTGATAAACTTCTCTTCTTCCTTGGCTCTGCTCTCCAAATTTATGCAGTCCCCCTTAAATGGAGAGAGGGGGTCAGAGACTGGACGGTTCAGAGGCGGAGAAAGGGGATAACTGTGTGAGTGCCTTGGGCAGCGACAACTGCAAAGTGTTATTAAGTTGAGTTGTTGTTGTTGTTGTCACCGGTGTTCTGCTCTTGTTGTTGCCTTTGTTATGCCGGCATTTCAGTTGCTCCCTTGTTGGGAGTACAGTAAAATTGCTCTAAAAGAAATGTTTTCAGTTTGATTTTATAAACGGTGAATAGTTTTAGTAGTCATATAACTTAAAAATATGCTTTTTATATTTAAGTTTTTATTTTAATAGAAACAAAGAGAACAAAAGACCAACATTTAAAGCGAAAACGGTTGGAGTAATGTAATTCACAAGTACGAAGTCAGTGACATAAAATATTTATTGATGAGGGCTTTTGGCTTTAGGAGTATACTTACAAGCTTGCTGTCTCGTTATTTGTAGATTTATTAAAATGTTTGTTGTTGCTTTGTTTAAGTAAAAGATACTATCGAAATGCAGAAAATAATCAGAACCCACAGTTCCATAAAAAATATTATGATTTATCATTAATCCTTACAAAATAGGTTTAAAGATTAATGAAGAAAAGTGTCTCCTTTGGCTTATAATAAGGAAAACATTATCCTGTTAATATGTGCATAATATATTCCCTTATTTCTCTTAGATTATTTGCCTGTAGTGACTAGAGCAGTGCCCACTGTCAGTGCTCTCGCACTCATTGTTGGCACTTGCTTTTGCTTGTTGCCTTTGGGCCATATTTTGCACCTTTTACGTTTATTGTGACATTATGCTTTGAATAATGGACGACACTGCAGCAACAATAACAACAACACCAACAGCAAGAGGGCAAACACTTTTTAGAACACAAACCAAATAAACGATAGGATGGTTCCGAGGTGGTGTACTTTGTTGGGTTAGTGCCTGCCACTTTCCTTGTGTATTTTGCATCCTTTTTACATTATGTTTTGATTAAAAACTGAGCCACAGCTTCACCGCCGCAGCAGCTGGAACAAAAAAACAACTGAACACACAGAGAGAGAAAAATCACGAGAAGCGCAAACAAAAGCGAAGAGCAGAGCAAAGGCAAACAGGACATAACAAAGTGCGGTGTGTACCGAGTCCAGTCAAGGCAAGTGGGCGTGGCAGGTGGCAAGTGGGCAGGGCGCGGGGGTAAATAGCCTCCACTGCGGCGGTCACTTTCAGGACATCGGAGCATAAAATAAACATAAAAAATGCGAAAAAAAGTTATGTTGCGGCTAAGTGAAAAATGCTGATTAAAATGGCCAAGGCCAGGAGCCCCCGCAAATTTATTAAAAAGAAAATCCGAAGCGAAAGATGACATAACATGAATTAAAATAATAATCAGCCATCTCCCTGCTTTTAATATCTTCATAGCTGTGCAAATATCTCAGATGTCATTCTCAAATATCTCGATGTCAGCATCTGCGCCTCGTTTGTTTGAATTTAATTAAAATGTTCTTTGTGGCATATAGTCAGAGTATTAGCACTTGAAAATAGGAAAAAGATGAATGAATATGAAATGATTCTTGTGTTGCCTAAAAGCTTTGCTTTATAGGCTTTAAAGTTTAAACATTAAACAGAAGGATTGTAATATTTTGCAATCAATATCCTCCCATTTGCAGTTAAAAAATCCTCATAATTCTGTTAATTTCAAACACGACTGTATACGTATGTACCAGTTGAATCGAGTTTTAATGAGACGCACATGTTGGCCATGTTTAACATAATTTCTTTTGTTGGCCACAAAATGCTCATTTTTCATATCCAGCTTTGAAAACCAATTAAAATTACCCCCTAAAAAATGAAGGGAACAAAATGTTGTTACATGTTCCAGAGGACACGGGACCACGGATATAGGATACAGGACACGCTTTCCTCAGCTGAGCCAATGGCTTGTCACACCTCCCAAAAAAACGCAGGAAAAAAGGGGAGAACAACCAAAAGAGCAGCGAAACCCGACTCCTCTGCAGTTGGTAAACTCCGTTGCCGCAGAGTGAGTGAGTCATTATGGTGGCAACAGGGGTTTCTGTGGCCAACAGGGCGTCGAGTGGTCGAGGGATGGGGCTTTGGCGTTGGCGCCTGTCAGTTTTCGCAAATGAGGTTTAGCCATCTTCCCAGAAGGATGTGTGAGCCCTGCGTGTGTTTACGGGGCAGCTGCATTGTCGGGCAATTAAGCGCGGTCCCTGCCCGAAACTAAGCTCGTTTGCACTGAGAAAAAACATGCTAAGCCCGGCTTTTGACGGGTGATTAAATTAACAAGGAAAATATAGTTAAAAAGATACTTTTTTCCTTAAGCATTATTTAAGTTCGCTTGTTTTTACTCTACTTGAATTCTTGTAAATAAGCTGAGTTTGGTTTTAAGTTCATAAGTTAGGACACATTTTAAATATACTTCTTAATTAACTGTTTAAACAAATAACAATTTATATCTATTAAATGGGGTTCAATTAAGACAAAGAGATGTTCTCTAAAAATAACAAGAGGACTGGCTTTCTCTCGTTATTAGATCAACTTGTTTAAATTAACAATATAAATGAACAAATATTTTTCACTGCGGGGTGGAGAGGTGCAAAGGCTGTGATGGGTCTATTCCAGGTTCCTCTCACCTTCCACCAACCTCTACCCCTGTCAACTTCCCTCCCCTGCCTCCACCTGGCTCTCTTTTTCACTTTGCCATCTTCAATTTGGGTTCATTGTCGTTTCTCGTGGCTTGTAATCAAACAAATGACTGCGCCCAGGTGTTGCCGCAGGCGTAGCCACACCCACCCAATACGCACACCCACAACCAGCGGCACACACCCCCACGTTTCCCGCTTGAAACTCCGTCCTATCCCGACCAATTTGAAGGCATCCTTGTGCCTTTAAAGCTTCTTTCATTGCCTGTCAGTTGCCGGGCTTTTGGTCGTGTATCGTTCCTAACGTGCGTTTGCCTTCATTATTGGCTTTTGGCAGGCTCTTCTCGGTCGGCACCTTCTCCTCCTGGAAGTCATGCGTCCCTCGTCCTTCCCGTTTTCCCCAGTCGTCTCTGCCTCTTTACTTTTAATGATGCGCAATTTGTCGTTAATTTTTTGGGCATTTTATTTTATGTTTTATTTTTGCTTCTCATCGTTTTCCAGCTGAGTCTTGCTTCTGCCACTTCCTGTTTCTTGGCTAATACACGTGGCGAAAAATAAACATTAGCAAGATAAATCTTAGAAATTATTACCATGTTAAATTAAGACCAAGTATACAATTTTAATAAAATTATTCAAGATTAAACTATATTATTTTGTGCACACAAATCGAAGCTACATTTAGCTATAATCATCAATACTTTTCTTACAGTGAACTTCTACTGTTGATTTGTCTTTGTTTTGCTTGGCTGTGACTTTGGGGAATTTTTGTTTTATGTGTTTGGGTCGTGCAAAACTTTCTTCGACGTCATCATCATCATTTCATTAATGGCATTTTTAGTTGTTACTCTATTCACCAAGTTTCTGTTGTCCTTGTCGCCATTGTGTTGATCTATGCCCGTTTTGGGGGGCTATTAAAATCTGATTATGTGCTCCAATGGGATTCCGAATACATAGATGGGAAATAGCGGAAGCCCTAACATTTTCCATTAGATTTTCCACAACGTTTCCCGGCTTCCGCTCATTGTGTTCATTAAGTTAAGCACTCGTTGAGGCTAAATGGCGCTTAAAGGATTCCCAAAAAGGAGAGCAAATGGCAGATAGCAAAAGAGCGTAGGGGGAGCGGAGTAATGCCGGCCACGTGGCAAACCCTTTTACGACTTCATTTTCATTAGCGGCGCCATTGCAAAGTGCAAAATCCAGGCAAACCCCACAATGAATAACTCCCCTTTTGGGGGGCGAAACTACCACCAAACTACCAAAAAACTAAAGTGAGCCAGAGCCAGACCAAAGCCAGAACCGCCAACCGAAACAAATGCCCCGCGGCATTGTGGCAGCTGCGCATCTGTTCATCTGCTCATCCACTGCAACTCCTGCCGGCGGATGCGCTGCACCACCTCATCATCGTTCCAAAGCGGAGTGGGAGTTCCAGGGCACCGCCAAGGGATAAATAGCAGCACAGCGGATTCATGGGCTTTAGTCCAGTTGAATGTACAGTCCCCTCGCTGGCTGGCATCAAATACATTTCCAGAAATATATTATAGGTGTTTATTTATAGTATTTCCGGATGCTTCGGGGTTATTTCCATAAATTACTGAAGATGTTACGTTAATTAGCTATTCAGAAAATGTTGTGGAATTGCAATGCGCGTGAATTCATTATCATACATATTTTGTAACTTATTGATTAAATAATATCATGTCAATGATATTTATTAGTGTTTAAGTAACTGGGCTTCTCCCACAAGACACTCATACATATGTTCTAAGAGGGTTAAGAGAGTAAGATATATTTCAAAAAACGGTTTCTTTCATGGTTTAAATGCCTGTAATAGCCTGAATTCCTCTTAAAGTGTTCTCAGGCACCCCAAAATATCCTTCAGCATTCAGGCTGCATTTTTGTGAATCCCATTCCAGACCAGGCAATCATTTCTTTCCCTCTTCTTCTACTTCTGGTTATTGTTATGATTGCTTAGAGTGCTGAGGAAAACAGAGCTGGGAATTCCGAAGGAGTTGCTGCTGCTCAACAAGCTTTTAGCCAAGAGGCGGCTCATTTCACTCGACGCCTCATGGAACACCGGGCATTGGCCCAAACGCCTTTCTCTCTCCATCCTGTATTCCAAGTTGCCCCGATAGCTCCTGCACGTTGTCTCTACTCGCAGTCCAATCCAATTGCCATGCAAATGTGCAACAATTGACAACAGAAACAGGCGCCAGACGAGATGCCATAGATGGCAACGAGTGGCGCTTGGAGGAGGAGTCTGGAGAGGGGAAACATGACGCACATGGACATGGACAGACAATTAAGTGTCAAGTTTTTCACGAACATTATAATGGTCACAGAGCAGGGGGGGGATTGAAATAGCGGGAAGCACTGCAACTAGTGACGACGAGTGTTTTGTGCTGTTTTACATTTGCCTTTGTGTGGAGATAGCGGATGCATAACTACACTGAGGGAAGATGCAGTAACCTCAATACAAACAATTCAAAAATAATAATTCAGAATATGTATTTTACCTATATTTCTTTAAGGAATGTTCAGAGTATAGTTATTCACCTTTTCTTTATTTGGGAAAAGTGATTTAATTTAAACTGTTTTTTGCAGTGTATTTGGATGTCATTGCTATGACATTTGTCAACTGGATTGCGACAAAAGCAAAAACAAAAACGCCCAGATCCAAGGGCTAGAGTTTGAGGGAGACAGACGACACAACAGGGCGTATGTGTAACTTCCGGATTTGCTTGTTGTTATTGTGCTTTTCCTTGTCTTTTTCTTTTTTGTTTTTGTTTTTGCTTTCATTTTTTGATTTGGGATGTTGCCTCGCTAAAGTGGATTATGCTAGTGTGTGTGCAGTAGGGATATTTCATTTTCCTAGCTCCCCTATATCCCATTTCCTTTCCAGTGTTCCTGCACCTCTGCCACTACCACTACGAAAAAAGAAGCACTCTGAAAGCCATGCAAGCAAACAATTGCCTAACAAAAGCCGCTTACATACAACACTTGAGGCTCGCACAATTCTGGCTGTTGCTTTTTGCCTTTTGCTATTCGCCATTTGATGCTGCCAACTAGAGTCTGACTGCAGTTAAGTTACAATTGTTCGCTTTGTTGCACAATGTTTTTTTTTTTCGACCGATTCTGCTTGGGGTTTCCCATTCCGGCGTACCCATTTATATATATGTATGTTAAAGAGTGTATGTGGAAGGAATATTTGTTAGATTTCATTTATAAATATTGCTTATAATTAATATAATTATTATTAATGCTCTCATAAATTACTAAAATCATTTTGTTTTCTTTTTTTCTAGGTAATTAAACATTGGTCAGGAATTTGCTGTGTTTGCTATAAACTGTGAGTTGAAAAATAGGTTTAGAAATAGTCATTAATATATTTTGAATTATCGTAAAAAATTCATATTTATCAGCTAAACTTTATTATGTACGCACGAATAGTATACCCATAATCAAACAAAAATTTTACCTATTTTGCTGACGATTACTGTGTCGCTGAATTCGTACTTGGGAATTTTAGTTGGCCTTGTGTGTGTTTTTTCTTTTCCTTTTGTATATTGATTTCAAATACTTTCAAAAACTCGAAGATATTAATTAAATGAGAATATTATTAGTTTAGTACAGAGTACCCTCGATTCGAACCCATTTTCATATCAGGGAACATTTTCTAACTCTGTGTTGGTTCCCTTCCATATAAGTAATATGTAATTGTGTTTGGTCTGCTTGAAGGGAGATGCACACATTCAGTGGTAACGAGAGCCAAAAAGAGAAAGGTATACCACGGGAGAAAGAGACGGAAAAGGGGAGTGAGACCCAACCACCAGCTTTGACACAATGTTTTCCGCTTTTCTCCGCTGTTGTTTTGCATTGTTTCTGTTTTTTTTGTGGCGTTGTGTGCCACAGTGTTTAAATGGTATAAAATGCTAATCGCATTTGGCCCACACGGCGTTGATTTATGCCTGTTTCCCTGTGTGTGTGCGTTTGTATGAAGGAACGAAAGGATTCCCTTGCCCATTTGTGTGTAGGTGTAAAGGATTATAGGGAATTTGGCTGCCACGGCTTAAAATTTCATGTTAATTATAACGAAATTCAAAATTAAATCATTAGACATAAATCAGTTGGCGCACCAAATAAAAAAAAAATCATTTCAAAGAAGCGGGAATCCCGAACGCACAAATTCTGCTGCGAATGGAAAACGAAAAACACAGACAAGGAAACCTCATTTGCATATATGCAAGTTAAATTCATTTGCATGAAATGCGACGCCGCTTACCTCCAGTCCAACAGAAACAACAAAAAAGTAGGAAAACAGGACCCAAACAGGAGGTACGGGAGGGGATATGTGTGGGTTAACTTGGAGCACCAGGACCAAAAGCAGCGACAACATCAACAGCCGTGGAGACTTCAGAACGTTCACACTTAAGTGCCGAGTAGCTAAACAGTTCAGATACAGTGCTTGCCAAAATGAATGCTGTCCTAATGCGTTAACTTAATTTTACTGCTGACACTGCAGATGTGGTCAGTATACTACTTACGCTTAAATATTCCTACAAATTTACATGTTTTATAAATTGAAATTATGATTAATAAACCCTTTCAGAATGACTTGTTTAAATTCAAAGCTAAATATTTGTATAACCTAACTCCAAGGTTATTTCATATTTGATGATCTTGCAAAACATTAAAAAAACTTTAAGATTTAAGATAGGCGAATATCGCAAGAGGTGGTCAAAAAGTCCTCAATATACTGGAATCGAAAGGACCGTTCAGGATGGCGTTTTCCTAATACTCTCTCGCTTTTTCTTCCATGCTTTTCCTGCAATGTACAAGGAATAACGTACTCTGCCCTCTGATAGAGTTCCGCGAAAGAACGAGAGAGGAGTTTAAGTAGGAAATTTTATAAGACTAAGTAGACTTTTAATTCTAAAGCGGACTGTACTGTGCTTCCTGTAAACTGCAATACGTCAAGTACATAATGTGGGTAAATGGGATCCACACCGTTAGGTGGGTGGAGGTAGTCGGAAAAGGACGACATGAGGGTAATGAGGAAAGCGGAACGAAAAGGAGATGTGGCTATGTAGCTGCTTGCATTCTCATAATGAAGCATCACGAACTTTTGTATTAAAACTTATTAAATTTCTGCGGCTGCCGTTGCCTTTGCAGCAACTTGTACTGAAATACACTGGCAGAAATGGCAAGTAGTTTATCCACCTCCTATTGGAGCGCTCAAGTTCTCTGGCCCCCAGCACACTTCATCGCGTATAGGGCTTAATTTTGTTTAATTATTTGTTACGGGCAAGAGCCATAGCTCGAGGTTCGTTCCGACCTTTTCACATTATTCTTTTGGTCCGAATTCATTTTCATTTGTGCAGCCCGTAAGTTTTCCCCATCGCCACATGGCATCCTGAAGTCATTTTTCGCCGGCTTTCCTCTGTCTGTCTCGCTTTCCGGGCTCCGCCTCTCCCAATCTTCCTGTCTCCCTCCACTTAATCCTTGTTAGCTTTCGTCGTGAGCTGGTTTTTCTCCGTCTGTCTGTCGCGCTTTTTATGCAAATTACTTGCTTAAAGCTTAAAGAATAAAAAATAAAAAGCAAGTGCAGATTGGCGCTTTTCCATGGAATGGAATGGAAATTCCTGGGAAAAACAAGCGCATAAAGCCAGTCACGTCACATATGGCTGTAAGCCGGGGGAAAAGTATGCCATTCGGCTTTGGACTTATCGGCCGAGACTCTTTGGATACTTGGATACCAAAGATCCTTTCCTGCCGCATTGATGTCCTCAAATGCGAGTTGCGTGACTTGTGTGACTTTTATTTTTCGTATCATCAACGAAGCCACTTGCGCCAAGTCATCAGGGCCCCATCATCTTCATCATCATCATCATCTTCTTCCGCTTTCCTGTTGACAGTTGAGTATTATAAATGCCAACGAATTGCTACCTCCGACTTCAACGTCGCCCTTAACTTTTTCGCTGCTCTTAACTCTGCTCCCCGTCCTTATTAAATGGAGCATAATTTATGTGCGGATTCAATTTTATTGCCCAAAAAGGGACTTTTCATGATATGCATATTAGGAGATTGTCCCGCTGCTATATAATGTCTGCATTTGAGGGAATAAAAAGTAGGGGAGTGCTAATTGAAAGCTAATTAGTACAAGGTGCGCCCTATCAGGTTATGTAACCTGATAAGGGATGTCTTCTGAGGATCATTGTAAAAGTTTGAATATTCCAATTAAATATTCTTGTAATCTCCTCCACAACCATTTAATTTGCTTTGCCCCATTGCTATGTGGGTCACCCTGGTGTCCCAAATTAAATTGTCTAACCCGCAGCAAACTCAGTTCAATCAAAGTTCCTCTGAAACCAACCCCTAAACAACCCTTTGGGTCAACCACACCCACCACCATCACCCAGCCATCAAGTTCAAGGCATGCATGTAATAACCAACTCAATTACCGGCTTCTGGCTTCTAGCAATTCGCTATCGATTTAATAATTGCCTGATGCCTGATAAAAGTAAAAATACATGTCAATCGATAATATCCATTAGCCATAAACAACCGATAGGAGGTTCTGCGTAGTTTCCTGGCCCCGAACCAAACCCATCGTTAAGAAATCAAAAATCGATTAAGCGCCCCCCCCATGCGTTCACCGGGTCTTCCCCGTTTTCATTTGCGGCTGGCAAAAACTTTTAATTACGTGAAAATAAAAAAAAAGGGAATGTGTATCGCTGTTAATATGGCAAAAGTTCTTGAAATTTTCATCGCAAATTGCCATTTAAAATGCAATCACATTAACCCCAGACTTCCTTTGATCAATTGAGCCAATTGCGGAATGCTTAATTGCTGGTGCTTAATATGCTTTTGCTTTGGGTTCTGTGTGCTCTGCAGCTACTTTTATTTAATTTGTAGAGTCTCCTGCCGGGAGAAATATTATTTTGGGAACAAGGGTAATTAATTGTTACCAAACAGATTGAGTATTTTTAATAAAACGTTTTTTTTGTTGGTATTCTGAAAGCGTTTCATGAGCTATAAGAACCACAGTTAATCTCTTTGTAGATATATTAATATTATTACCAAGAAAATGTATTTTAAACCGATATCATATTCTGTATCTCCTTGGTCACATAATTTAACCTTATCCCGAAACTTTGTACAACTTAAACCTTGTTGCTTGGTGTAAGTATAACCGACAAAAAAATATATAAGGCAAACGAGTTTCATCTTCCTGACTGAACTGCATCTGAAATCTAACAGCTGCCTTTAAACACAGATGAAATCTCCAATTGCCTGCGATGCCTGATCATTAATTTGAACAAAGCTAATGCCGAAAATTATATGGCCAACGGTATCCGCCAAAATTTGGGTTACCCTCGACCGCAAAAAATACAAATAAAACGGGTTTGACTGCGACTGGTTCGCGAAATAAGTTCCGCTCCCTTTGGCCCAAAATCGTTGGGAATCCAACAACAACAGATGTCGGCGATCGCGATCGAGTTACCTGCGATGGCTCTGCTATATGGTGTCTCCTTTGATTTGAGTTGTGGCAGGTGCAAAAGACGATCCACGTATGGATCTGGGCTTTAGGGCCTCTGTCTCGGCACACACAGAGAAAATATTGAAGCAGAAAATATATATTTTATGGGATATAGCAACTTATTAAATATTTACTAAGTCCTCTTGACATTTGGGTTTTTGTAAGACTTGCTATAGTATTTTTTCCTAACTTTTCTGTGCTTGAATGTTTAATCTTGTTTTATATTTAACTATTTATTTAGCATATTAAGTAAAAATAGATTTAAATATCAGCTTATCAGGCTTATATTTCATTTATTTAAATTCATATTAGGTCGTCACAAAATCCATTTGCAAATTAAAACTATATACAATATTTCTCAGTGCTTCTGTATCTGTTCCTGTCCCTGGCTTTGTGTCCGTTGCTTTAACTGATTTCCATTGCTTTGGCACACCTGCTATCCTGTCCTTGTTTGCGATCTCCCCTTGAAGGAATATATGTATGTATGTATGTCCCTATTCTTCCTTAAGCGATGTCTGTCTGTCTTTCTGTCTGACTCACTCGCCTACCTGAGTCGTCGTGATCCTTTGTGGCCATAATAGCCTTTTCGCAATTTGTTTGCTTTGGTTGTTGTGCACTGCGTTAATCGAAAGTGCTTAAGTGTGTATCCTGCGCAGGACTCTCGAAGATTACGATCTGCGGCTTAGGGAGGATGGGTATGGAACGACCTCTCGTCATTGTCCGTGTCACAATAATTGCCATCAATTATTCGACTACCTGCTACTGTCCGCAGAGAAACTCAAATCAGTAGATCAAAAACTGAACTCGAA